CATCTACAAAAAGGCAAAGACAATCATAATTGACCCAAGTTGCTCGACTGCACCATGACTTCATCTATGGCATTAGTCTATATATAGTCATTTATAGTGTGATTCATACAATCTATAATAACAGACAATTTGCCCACAAATTGTAAATATATCAGTAGTCATTTTTGTTTCCTAGCATCTAACAATGTATAATGTAAAACTAAATTTTGTTCTGACAATAAGATCATCTTTCAGAAACGTGCAGAATCTCCACATTTGCATTGATTCCACAGGACAGAGATTCACTGACGACTGGGACTCTTCGTCTTTGTTGTAGGGAAACCTCATTTGCAAATATTCAATATCCACTGACCGCTGAGGATGTGGGGTCCACATTGAGTTGCAAATGATTTATGATTCATTAGCATGAGGAATATGGAAACCATCAAAAAAGCCTTTGGTCACTACATGTTGTGTTCTGTGAGAATAAACCACTACCCATCTGTGTGCGTTAATGGTCTCTTATGTCCACTGTGTCTTGGGCTTTCATCTGTGCAGCAAAACTGAACTATGACTACTTTCAAATAAATACATGCAAATGTTAAACCAAGGGCAGTAAATATGGCCAGAAGAGTACTGTTCAATAAAGGAAAAAAGAAAGAAAAAATATACCAGTTTTATCTCTTGGTGAACATAAACCTCAGTGATAATACTACTACTTTTTGAGTTTGAGTTTTGGTCAAAAAACACAAGACATTTATGTGGCAGGGGTTAGTAAACCTTTAAACCTGGAAAGTAAATTGTCTAGTGCTGTTTATCCATCCATCCATTTTCATTTTCTTCCTCTTATCTGGGGCCAGGTTGCGGGGACAGCAGCCTAAGCTGGGACTCCCAGACTTCCTTCACCCCAGACACGTCCTCCAGCCCCTCCGGGGGGACCCCGAGGAGTTCCCAGGCCAGCCGAGAGACATAGTCCCTCCAGCGTGTCCTGGGTCTTCCCCGGGGCCTCCTCCCGGTGGGACATACCCAAACAACTCCCGAGGGAGGTGCCCAGGAGGCATCCGGAACAGATGCCCAAGCCACTTCAGCTGGCTCCTCTTGATGTGGAGGAGCAGCAGATCTACTCCGAGCCCCTCCCGTGTGACTGAGCTCCTCACCCTATCTAAGGGAGCGCCCAGCCACCCTGCGGAGGAAACAAATTTCGAGCGCTTGTATCCGTGATCTCGTCCTTTCGGTCATTACCCAGAGCTCATGACCATAGGTGAGAGTAGGAACGAACACTGACTGGTAAATCGAGAGCTTCGCCTTTCGGCTCAGCTCCCTCTTCACCACAACGGTCTGATACATCGACCGCATCACTGCAGACGCAGCACCGATCCGCCTGTCAATCTCACATTCCGTCCTCCCCTCACTCATGAACAAGACCCCGAGATACTTGAACTCCTCCACTTGAGGCAACGACTCTCCACCTTACCCCTCTCAAGGAGTTGGGTTCCAGAGCCCAAACTGTGCGTGAAGGTGAGGCCGACTATATCTAGTCGGTAGTGCTCAACCTCCCGCACAAGCTCAGGCTCCTTCCCCCCCAGCGAGGTGACATTCCATGTCCCCAGAGCTAGTCTCCATGTCCAGAGATCCAGTCGTTGAGGCCCCTGCCTTCAACCACCGCCCAGATCTCCTTGCACCGGCCCCTTAAGGCTCCTCCCGCAGGTGGTGGGCCCACGGGAGGGCGGCCCCAAGTCACTCCTTCGGGCTGTGCCTGGCCAGGCCCCGTGGGGGAAGACTGTCGAGCTCCCACCCCAGGCCTGGCTCCAGGGTGGGGCCCCGGTGACGCCAATCCGGGCGACGTATCTGGACTTGTTGGTGCACTCAACATAGGGGCTTCTGAACCATTCTTCGTCTGACTCATCCCCCAGGACCTGTTTGCCTTGGGTGACCCTACCAGGGGCATAAAGCCCCCGAAAACATAGCTCCCAAGATCATTCGGGCACTCAAACCAAACCTTCTTAAACCCACAGACAGATGGGTTACGCAGTGTATTATTTGTAGTTTTGACGGAGTCATAAATCGATGACAAATGTAGATCTAAATAAGTCTATATATTCATTGATGGTTGTTGGTTGATTGTTTTTCTTTGGTTCTTGGTGAGAAATTGTTCATCCAATGCACCCATATCATTCAAGCAAATATGAAAGGATGTCTGTTAAGGTCTTGTGCCTATAACCTGAGAATCTTACAGAATCCACATGTGAAAAATACCGAACCCATGCTCGATATTTGATTATCAGATACACTTGCCGGGGAGGTATTTACAAATGTGAAGTGGGATATACAGCTGTCGATAAAGACTGTGTGACTCTGAAGTTCTCACTTTTTAAAAGCACAAAAACTATGTACACAGAGAAGTGCAAGCAAACAGCTTATTAATAAGTGAACAGGCAGATTAAACTCAAGCAAACTAACACCTTACATTCTCTTCTATGATATTATACATATATAAAATTAACCGACTAATACAAATTTTGTTGGTCCAGCAATCGATCCATTAACAACACAAAATTATATACAAGTTTACACTTATTCCTTTTTGAGAATAAGTGTACTATGGTGGCCAAACTGAACCTCTGCCACTGAGATAGGCATAAACACTTGTCACTATGGTGCACTTAGGATGGTTATTGTATCTAATTACCATTCTTCACATAAGTCCAAGGATCCATGAGCTGTGTTGTAGATCAAAGGTCACTTTATTTCCATAAGAAAGCAAATTAAACAAAAAAAACATCCTTTTAAAATGAGGTGGAGCAATTATGTCATCAGACAATGCACCTGTATACCTGGCCTTACCTCCACAGGAATAATTCAAGGGCGCCACCCGCAGGCCAATCAGATGCCACACAATTTGGCTTGCACTATTGCATCATAATGTAAAAACATGTATGTTGCTCAATAAACAAATTGAAGGGAACTGAACTAATAAATGCTACAGCAGATTTCTATTATGACACATGAAAAAACATAAAAGTAATAATTTAGACAATAAACAAATCTAATATGATCTCAAACTGGCAATCTACATGCTTTGTAATAGCATACTCATTCATAAAACATGTACCCTTATCTTCATTAAGGCGGGATCAACAGGCAATAGACATATTAGCCAGTGTATACCAACAAGACACTTGGCTAGAAACAGACAGCTCAGCCCATCTACAGTGTCTTTATCTCCTGTCAGTCAAACTGCTGTTAGCATCGTGAGAGTGTTTTATTTTTCCTGGCAAAAATCCTGAGGAGCCGCAAGTTGAGCATCACTCAAATGCTTGTCAATTTCTTTTTCCCATTGCCCATAGTTCTGCCAGCTGATTCAGATGTAATGACTCTAGTACTGTAACATGCACAAAATATATGGTAACAATGTGTCTTATTAAGGGCCAAACACATTCATTAGCCATCCTCTTATTTTAAAATGTATTGGATAGTGTATGGGCTGAATAGGAAAAAAATAACTAAATGTAATCAGTGCATGTATTAGTAACCATGACAGAAAAACTCTTAAATGTTGTGAATGTTTAAGTATTAGTCAAGTAGAATGGGAAGCATAACATTGCACTCTTGCATTTTGAGATTTATTTTTCACTGCTTAATTTAGTGCAAAATAAAACAAAACAAAACAAACAAACAAAAAAAGAACACAGTGGTGAATGTGTTCTCATAGAACCAAGGGTTGTGCAATATTCAACATGTATCATATTTGCTTCAAATTGTAACGCATTACATTTTTCTGCTACAGTTTATTATGAATGATAATTTTCTATGCCTTAGATAAACTGTGCCACTGAATTGCTCCAATATTCTTTCAGCAGTGACTGAAAGTAATTTCTTGCTCATAGTGATTTATAAATTCTCAATCCATTTATGAAATTGCAGCCTGAAGCGGCAAGCTTTCATTTAAGTAATGTGAAGTTATAGTACTACTAATACTGTATTAGAAAAGGACTATAAAGCTACCACCAGAAACTGTTGCTGACTTATTAAAACAAAGTGCATAGTGCAACAAACTCCAGAGCACATTGACAGGAAGTATGCATTTGACAATAATTTGGAACATCATCCTTATATTTTCATGTCAAAATATTAAATTACTGTAACCGTCTTCTTTTGAATTAAGAGGTATTTGGGGTGACATTTAAAATGTCTTGTGTTCAATAATCAAGCCATCTTTAGTAGAGTTCCCAAGCCGCATTGACCCACATAGTGGCACGGAGGGTAGACTACTGTAAACAACAAGTGCATCTGGTCTGTCAGTGATCGGTAAAGATTACGTACTGGCAGATTTCACAACAGAGAAAATGCACAGTATACAAAGTAATCAGGCAGTGTTTTCTCTAAGTGGCCAGTTCCTTCTAGCTATGAGTTACTTGTCACAGGGTTCACATCAAGAGGCACTCTGACTCAGCATGTCGAGATGAGGTGCACTCGCTGCATTGGACCTGCTATGCCAATCTGTAGCATTACAGCTGCATCTCTTCCAAAATAGTCATCTGCCATGAAAACGAGTAAGCACAGGGAGCTCCAGACCACACGGAGCCATCAGTGAGACTGATGCAGCCAAGGTGCTCAAGGACACCGGGACTGACACATGCTGGAGAGGCGAGGCTGCTCTAGGGATAGGGCACACATGCACTACATGCGTGCACTGTGACGATGACGTGTGGCCAAATAATCACCTTGTGATCTCTAGATAACTAGTTATGACACATCTAGCATTGTAAAAGTGCTGCTCAACAGCTATGGCTAACTGTTCCCCACTCTACGGGGCAACGGGAAGGAATCGTGCACTCACGGTCGACGTGCGGATCACATGACGCAAGCGCTGCACCGATAATAACCCAATTAACACAGACATTTTCTCACATCTTTCGTCTTATAATTTACCCCATATTGTCAGAGTAGATGCCCTTTACCAGAATCACAAACTGTTATCACTGAACTGTATCTCACTGACTGCACGTGTTTTTACTCACAGAATCACTTGCGTTTTTACGCAGCAGCTCTTCTTCTGCCACTAGAGTAGTCGGCTCAACCACCAGTTTCTCAAAGCATGCCGAACCGAGAGATGAGCTCTTCTGTTGATGCATAATCAAGGATACTGTCAATTTAGGACTTCCGTGAGCCGACAACTCAGGTTTACTTCCCGTGGCGCCAGAAGCAGCACCAAGGGGCTCGAGCAGGCTCTGTCCGCCGCTGCTAGTGCTGGGACCCGACTCCAAGCCATAAGACTTCTTGTCTTCAAAGGACTGAGATAAATTGGGCTGAGACGACGAAAACACGCGGTCCAGTTGTTTCTTCTTCCGCTTAAACATCCATAACCCTGATTCCTTTTTACTCCCCTCAGCACCGCCGCCACCGCGTCTTTCGGATCCTAGTTTAGGGCTTAGCCATGGCTTAGTTTTCTCCTGGAAATTCTTCCACATCCTCCGCTGATAGGACATAGATTCTGGACCGGGGTCGGCCTTCGGTGATTTTTGCTCCATAGTGCCCGAACAGCAACCAGCCAGCCTGAGAGCCCACTACGTGTGGCGAGACGATGCCTTCTGCTGATGATCAGCTGAGTGGCCGAGAGACGCCGAGTAGAAAAGGCAGTTTATCTTCCAACGAACCTTTACGACTCCCTTGAAGCCGACACTATAAATTAAGTCATCCAATATTCCGAATTGTAAAACGGGTCAATAAAGTTGTCCTATATTGGTGCCGAGCGCCTATACTTCCTCCTACTTCCTCAAGTTTAAAAAAAAAAAAAAAAAAAAAAAAAAGGCTTAGATTGGATGTTGCGGATCTCCGTCGTATAGTTCGTAATGTTCTATTTTCTGTGGTATCAAACTTCACAGTTAATTGCTCTATTTAAAATGCAGGATGAGAGTGCACCGCGCCTCCCTCTGGTCAGCCGTGTCTCTTGGCTGCAAACCCAATGCTGTTGCATAACACATCCCCCCATGCTCGTGGTGATGTGTAGGTTTGTAGTCAACTCACCACATGTGCCTTCGCATCCACTGCAGAGCTAAGGATGCGTGCTGAAAGTCAAGATTTTTGAGCCTTTTTGTTACACTAGGAGCAGGCATCTTTCTCACGATATCCTTTCACAATATTTCCGGGTCTGTGATGTAAACAGTAACTTTTACAGCCCTCATCTTGCTTCAAACTGATGAACAGTCTTCTCCATAACATGGAGATGGTTCCTACAATATATTTACATTAAATCCAAACCCATAAGGCAGTGTAAAAACCCTCGTGCTGATTTAACTGACATGAATGAAGCCACTCTGTCATGGCCTCGACATAAGAGAAAGTGATGTGTGATGGTTGCAGTTTATAGCAGCACTGTCCCTGAGTAAAGGACAAACTAGACACCTAAGTTGTATGATAAAAGTAAGCAATGCTGTAACAGTGATATTGTATGTGGCTTTGTGTCTATGGACAATATAAAGCAATATCCCTTGTAAAAAATCTGCCTACTGCAAGAAGCCCTAAGTCCTAATGGAGATGAAAGAGAGAGAGCCAAACATTGCGTTGTTACTGGCATTTCCTATAGGTTTATACAGAGAACCGATGAGCCAGCAGTGGCCTGCTGAAAAACGTCCAGACATTTATAATCTATGTGTTAAACTCTGATAGACTTTTTTGCTTTGTTTGTCAAATACAAACCAAAAAGCTTGATTTTATAACTTTGTTCCATACAGGAAGATCAGTAAGAAAAGAGTGGATTTAGATTGAACTAGGGCTAAGATAAGCAATAAGCCTTATTAATTAATCTTGGTTAGCATAAGTGTTTGGAAATAGCATGCAGCATTTCTAGGAGTCTATGCAAATTAGATTACTCAATACTCATAAATTAAAGTTATAATTAAATATAGCTTGCACAATGACATTGTACTCACTTCCTCCCTTTTACTAATTTTTTATGTGTGAATAGGTTGTGGTTTTGATATCTCTTAATAATAAGCTGTGCTTCAAAATCTAAATAGTTAATTCAAAAACCTTTTAGCAACTTCTTCATTAATTTTCAAATGGAGTTCTAACTGCCAGGTCAAATGGTTTGCTGAGTGCGCAGTTTTCATCACATGTGACAAATTCACTCTGACAGATAGGCCAACCCACTGAAGGAGTCTGTAGTGTTACCAAGTGACAACCCAAACAAGCGCTGAAAGACACACAAGCAGCCTGTGAGTATTCACAAAATGAATGATTGTAGAATAAATACAAAAAGAATACAGTTGTTCTATTCCATTCTATTCTCTATGTTGTATCTACTAAAGAGAGAGATACTTTATTGAGGGAAATTACTACACACAGTCTGAGTGAAAAGTATTAAGGGGTGTATTTCTTGTAGTAAGATAAGATAATAGATTTATTTCCAGTGTGCAGAATAGAGGTTCCATTTGTAAGTCTTTCCCTCTGATATCTGTGGGGATTGTTTGTATCCATTTTAGGGAGTTATTTTGTTGTTAATTTTAATCAGATCTCACCTCATCCCTCCCATCTCTGTGCTTTAGTTTTGGCCTGCATTTGTATCCTTCTCAATCAAACCCATTGACCTCCATTATAACAAAACTTTTTAAACCCATTGTTGTTTAGACATTATATGCTTCTGGGTTGAAAGGGAGAGTTATAAGAGCTACAGAAATGTTCACTTTTACCTTCCTTTGTCCTGAGTAATTAGGCCCCTCATGATAATTAGTGACTTATTGTTCTACATAATAAATGGAACAATAATTTTGAAGAGGGGAGGGCAATATTTATCGCAGGTAATTTTCCTTTGTTCTATTGGGAAACTTTTTGTTATTTTGTTGTACTATCATAAGATACAAGAAGGTTTAATAAGTAACTTCTGTGACTTCTTATGTGTTTCATGTATTTATTGCAGCAAAATATTGTACATACAGAATTGTTTTTTGGGGTAAAATTCTATTTTATGGTTATCATGTGAGTAGCATAATGGCATTCAATATTATCATTTACCCTCTATATTTTCTTACACTATATATTGTACTTTAAAATGCATAATTGTGACAGACCTAATACTAAATAGAACACTGAAGATCAGGGGATTGAAATTATGGCCCAGGGGCTACATGTGGTCAAGCATCCAGAATTTTATGGCCCTACTAACCCCTTCACCCATTCTGCCTAGTTTATAGGCATTTTATACACGATATTGCGTATACCAGTGTTTTAGAGTGATGCAGGCTACTAGCCTGAATAAAGGTAGATCGCAGAATACACTGTCAAACCTATTAATGGAGGTTTTGTTTATAATGACTTTTCAGTCAAAACAGAGCTCACTCTGCTTCTGTGATCCCATCCTGCAAAAGTCAGATTGAAATCAAACTCCTGGTCATGTTTGCAACAGAACATCAGTCTGAAATGGCTCCCACAGAAATGGGCTTTAAGAGAACCAGGTTCTAGCCATGAACTGATGTTTATTTGAAATTCATTTGAAATTTGAAAATCAATTCACAAATTTGTTTTAAATTCCCATGCTGTTAATGTGTTTACTATTAAAATAAAAACAATTGTCAATCATTACATCAATAATTAATTAATTAGCTGCTACACAATACATAATAATGCACTTTTTTGCTACAAATTATTTACATATATATATATATATATATATATATATATATATATATATATATATATATATATATATATATATATATATATATATATATATATATATATGTATATATATATATATGTATGTATATATATATATATATATAAGAGGGGTCAAATAACATCAAACCAAATAATTTTCTTCACCCATTTTTATATTTTTATTAAAACTATATATTTAGTAATAATTGATTGTAACAATTTTATATAATAAAAAGTATTTCAGCTCTTACTCTGGGGTTACCTTGTTTTGGTAAGAACTGATCAGTTCAGTGTTCAGTCCTATTAACAATGCTTTTCATCTTTGGTCTAGAATGTCAAATGTGCTTGAGTTACCTTTGCATCACACCAACCAGAGGTAAGAGATTGGATTGAACTCTAAAATCGTAATTTTTCAGTTTCTTGAAAAAAATTATTAAATTACACTGGGAAGCCAATGGTGACCTTTTTCTAACAATGCAGTGAATCACACAAATAAAAAATAAAAATAAAGGTTTACCTCACATTAGGGGGCACGGTTACATCACACCAATAACAGATTTGGCCCAGGGATGACTTAAGGCTACACAGCGCCCTATTCTGTCTTTCTCTGTTACATGAACGTGAGCTCTGTTATGTAAATGCCTAAATTGGGCTTCTGCTTTCTCCCTGTGTGAGGCCTGATGTTCTGGCGGGCCGTGGTGAGGACAGGGCTCTGGCTGTGCTGCTGGAGCAGGCGTTCAGGATCAAGGAGGAAGTGTCCTCTGGTCTGCAGAGGTGTGAGGGAAGTGCCCAGGCACAGACTTTGTCCCGCACACTGCTGCAGAGTCACATCCTCACCATCACACGCATCGTCCAGCAGCTCAGTGTCAATGTACAGGTACATCACATGTAAACTGTATTCAGGGGCAATCCAATTTAGTACTGTATTTCTGGACAATTCACTCACATGGCCACTCCAGTCACCAATATGAGACTGCATGAGGAGTCCATTGGTCTCCCTGCCCACTACACTGGTTAAACAATGGAATAAATCTAATAAAAAAATGAAGACATTAATAAAATTAAATACACATTTTTCAATATTAATCTAGAAGTATTTGTGTAAACAGAATGTGTAGGATTCATTTGTGTTTAAAATATGATATGTATGAATCAACATGCACAGCTGCAAACTATTTCACCCATTACGATAAATCATGTGGATGTCTTTACTTCTTGTAAGCAAGTAATAATTCAAGCCATGAATGAATAATGTATTTAAATTAACAACAGCCATATCCCCACTGGCTCTCATTACACATACGAGTACTATTGCTATTTGCTAAGAATACGTCAGAATGGACACACTCCATACATTATATTTGGCAAAGGCTGAAAGATGAGGGACTTGAGTATACATATAATAAAATAAAATTGCGAATGCTTGTGTTTTACCTGAGCAGAGCCTGCAGCGGCAAATAGTAGAGCGAGATTGGGTTACAAATGGAACCACACAGGCTGTTCAATGGCTTGACAGCAAAAGCATGGCTGGCATCGGGGACCTGAGGGGACGAGTAACCAGGTATGTTTATATCAGGAACCAAGAAATTACAATTAATTTAGTCACAGATTACACATATTGTTTTCCCTTTGCATCACAGGGCTTGCAGAACATGGTTGCTAGCAGTTTTCTATTACACATTTAGATCAGTAGTCACAAGATATTTAGCTTTTCAAGTAGCACCAGGATGCAACACCAGGGCAAAATCTATCTGCAAACCAAGATAAGAACATAAATTGGTATCTTAAAAAAAATTTTGAACTGTAGAGAATTATTAATGAAGCTTGCATGCCAGATACTACATAGATACGTAGATATAACTTGGACCAGTGTTTAAAAAAATCCTTAAGTTCTCTATAAAACAGTGAAAAGTGTCTCAGTTGCACTGTACCTTCAGGGTCATCCATGTGTGTCTTGGGTCCTCAGGTGTGATGCGAGCCTGGTACAGCTGAGTGCTGAAGTGAAGAGCACAGAGAGGCAGGTGATGCATCTGCAGCATGAGGTGAACCAGCTCCGATCAGCTGTGGAGCTCAGGATTAAAGAGGTGCATGTTAAGGTGAGGTTTTTATTTATTTAAAGCACTGGAAGTCTGCACTGTACACGCTGTTATTCATTATACATGATTTTTTTAAAAGCTTGGAATTCAATATGATACCGCAGATACTTATAATTAAACAAGGCATAATGAACACATTGTAGAATAGTACCGGTATACAATTTCTGGATTCTGTCTTCTTTTTCATTTCCAGATAATCAAATTTTATTACATCAGGATACAATTAATATAAAGCAATAATATACTCATAATACAGAATAATAATAGTTAAATGTGCACTATGTCATTTTTTTGTTTTGGAGGTCCCTCACCTGCTTGTTTCTGTGGATATGTAAATGTTCTGCCTACAGTGTTCCACAGTATGACATTAAATAACTGTACCTAACCTTTATTCAATTACATGTGGTTTTATATATCAATCTACTTAGAAAAACAGGGATTATGATTATGAGCAGGGTTGCCTCTCCCCAGATCTGAACTGTAACTTGGTCTGGTTTGGTCTCCATGATGATAGAAATAGCCATATTTTAAAGCATTCCAACCAAAGTAATAATATTAGGAAAAGCGCTTGATGGACCCTCCAACAGAAAAGCTATACAATGTACCTTAAAGGTTATATTGTTCCAGTATCTGTTCAAATTAGTATTCTGACACTACTTTTAGTGTCAGTATGGGTGTAGATTTTTTGAACCTAGTAGAGTACAGTATAGTACAGTAGAGTACACAGTACTATACAGTTGTATATGAGCATGGATGCTGCCACTAAATGTAATAGTCACAACACACTAACAGGCCTGGGCTGGCACTTTCACTCTCAGTTTTAGTGGCGAGTAAATCACTCAGAGCACATTAGATGTGGAGCAGTGGTCAAGCATGTGCCATAAAGATAATTGAAAATGCAGAGAAAGTGGGGCAGAGCTAGTTCTGGAGTCACACTGGAGCCCGATACGCTAGACTCAGCACAAATAGCAAAGGGGAGAGGTCATGTTACAGATACTGTAAATACATTGAGAAGGTATTAAAGTATTACATTACAAAGTATTTCTGCTGTGGTCTTGCTTATGTTCAGCTGCAGCGTGACCTTGGCCGATTGGAGGCTTCCTTGGCAGAAGTGTACCAGATCCAAAGGAGCTTCATGTCAGAGGTGCAAAACCAAGCTGGAAAAGCAGAAACCCAGTAAGGATACATGATACTATTTATAATACCAATATTCCAAATGAAAAGTTGAAATGCAGGGACACAGTAGGGATCTGATACCGATACTATGGCTTTAAGTGTAGGTTCTCTCAAAACACGTTAACAAATTTGACCCAACTATGTTTTTTTAATTTATCCTGCAAGTAACTACAAAACACCTTTGTATGAATTCAAGTTTAAACATTATGAGAAATCCTGGGCTTGCATCACTCAGAAAATGGTCTCCTTACATTCAGATAAAGGCCCAATCAGGATATCAACTGAACAGATATCATGGGACTGATACCTTATCCAGCAATTTTTTCTGGATGAGCAATGTTATTTGATATGTTATTTGAGTATCGGTATTGGTGCATCCCTAATTGGGAGAAACGTGTGCGCGTGGGCTGAATGATTTGAGGAATGACATTTTTGTGATTGTAGTTACATTTGCAATTTATGTTTCTAAATTAAGACTCTGTTCAGAATGTACATTTTAAAGTGGTCATTAACAAACTAATACAAGAATTCAAAGTCCAATATGAATACTTCACATATCCATTATTATTTCCACAGACCAGAGTAAAATGGTAGTGTAGTTTAGTCAGAGCCCTGCCGTGACTGAACAGGGTTGTGGTGTGTGCATCATTTTGTCACTTCACACAGGAAATGCTGAGGTCCATATCTTGTGTGCAGCAGTAGACAAAGCACCCCACAAGGATGTGTGAAGACCATATGACTGGTTACATAGCACACATGCACATGCATGTATAGTGAGTACATCAAAAAGATGCTTTCACAGAATGGTCTTTTGTGTAAGAGGACTCCTTCTCTTTTTATATTGAAAATCTAATGGGAGAAAATATAAAATATAGGTCAAGTTTGCAACACTCCCCATAGTATAATTTGCTTAACTTCTGATTATAGAAAGTGTGACAAGTCCTTGTTGATATTATAACAGAAATCAAAACAACTCCCAACCGTGTCCCCAATTACAAAAGGAAACAATAGCTGCTGTACAAATCTAGCCTCCATTATGTCAGAACAATGAAGACTGAAGTGAAGAGGCAACAGCACAAGACTTCTGTTCTGTTATCTCTTCACTTCAATTATACCATTTGACTTGACTAAACAGGCTAAGTACAGTCAGAATAAAATTAATTTGTTTTAGACGCTAATTATAAATATGTAAAACAATCATTAATTTTGAATTGTAAATAAAGTCATGGTAACTAACTAAAGGGTCTCATCCTAACCCAAAACTCCACTGTGCTCTGCAGACTGTCAGAAAAGATTATGGAAGTTGCAAATCAGTCCAATACACTGAAGAAGTGGACAGAAAAACAGACTCAGCACTGTGTCCAGTCATTTGAACAAAGCCATCGGCAACTACAACAAAATATGGTATTTTTTGGCAATTTAACAAAAGCACATATATACTGATGAATGAAGAAGTAGTAACTATTTTGTAGTTATTAAACTAGGCATTTTTTATTATTGTCATACTATATACTACTGACGTATATTACTGACACGATAGAGAACATTGACTAGAGCAGAAGAGGGCCATATGTTGAAATTGTTGAAAGCATCAGTGAAGTATTAATACTGAAATAAAATAAATAAATGTAAAAAAAAAAAAAAAAAGCTGCTGAAATTGCTGAAATGTCTTAGACTGGTCAGTCAGTATCATAAAAATATTGGAGAAATTGGGGTTAATGTTGTTTATTCCACGAGAGTTTGGTTAGTGTAGCCTTTGTAGAGTGAAAGTGGCTAAAGATTTTGTCTCACTATTCAGTACAAAATTTCAGAATTCAAAAGTTATTATGCTGAATTTGTAGCAGGAGGCAGAGCGTGGACTACTCAACAGACTGCAGGCCCTTGAAATTGGTCTGGAACAGTTCAGAAGTCAGCAGGAGCAGGCCGTGTGCAATCAGGCCGAGAGGCTTAAAAACATGGAGACCAGACTCAGCAACAAGGTGGACGCACTAGAGAAGATCCTCCATCATGAAGTGCAGCTGCTCAAACACAACTACCACAAAGGTCTGTCTGCCACACACTGTCAGGAGCAAGCAAACACAAGCTGCATCTGTCCACCCAAATGCCACGTCAGGGAAAATGTATGCACACATAACATAAAGGCTTCAAATGCTTTAAATAAAAATTCAGAACATTTTATAACTATTTATCTACTATTGTGAGGAAAATTCTAGAATATAACAAAATAGCTACACCCCTGGTTTCCTACAAACCTATAAATGAGAAGTCTAGTTACTTTTTGTGCAGTAACCTATTTTTATGAACAGAAGCTATTGCTGCCTGTTCAAACTGACCTTCAAGTCTGTTCAACATTAAGTGCTGCAGTACCAGATGCTTTGCATTTAAGTTGGTATATATTTTACACAGGATGCCTTTACCTCACTATCTTTGTGTTTGGATGCAGAAGGCAACCGATTTGTAGAGATAACCCCGAAAGAAACAGGCAATTAAAATATAATAAAGATATATAAAGTATATGAGATGTTCTGTAGCTGCCATAGCCTGGCTATGAGGCTCAGTGTTGGGCTTCTATGGCATCTCAGAGCACAGCCACCTCAAAACTCATTTCCCCCCTGAGTCCAGGCAGTAGATCTCTGCATTCACAGACACGCTTCATACGAGCGGGCTGAAGGCTGCCTCACTAAATAAGAGCAGAGTTAAACAGCACAGTACATCATCCCTCAGCCAAATCTCTGTTCACCAGAGCCGCCCATCCCTCACTCTACACCTCAGAGGAGGAGGACATGGAGCAGAATACGCCATGTATAACTGATATGTGTCATAAATATTATAGGCACTCTACAGATATAATGTCTCTATATCCTTTAAGTTCCAGGGTCAAAATCCAATTGAAGATTAATTATCATGTATTGTTAATGTCTTTTTTTCTAATTTAATCAGGCAAGTTACAGCATTTTATCAAACAAGAATTACAAAAAGTGTTTGCATTAAGACATACACTAAAGTAACTAACATAATTGATACGTTAAAGGTGAAGTTATGCCAGAAAAGCTTGACACTATTATTTTATTTTATTTTTTTAATTTAGGATTCAGGTCTGTGCACGATGCCATTGAAACACTGAAGGAAATAGCAGACCTCAACTCTCGCCTGCAGAAAGGAAAAATTCAAAAGGAACTCGCCAGATTTGAGTTGAGCTGAGTCATGTGTATAACTTCTAACAGAGAATACAAGAGCTTATCATCAGATCTGAGGAGAATGCTTAAGCAGCAGTGACCTCTAGTGGCAAGCCCAAAAAACGTAGTGGTAAAATATAATAAAGAGTAAGTAAAAATGTGTATTTTTATCTTTATTCGCATAAAAAAGGTCTATCTTCAGAAGCCAAACAAACGTGGGAACATAGAGCTGATCCCTTCTGGCAGTCCCGTGAATGACTACAAGTAAAATCATTTATTGCCATACTGTGGAGCATGGTGCAACTTTAAGATTGAAAACACATTTTATTATTAGCCAACAAGCATTAGCCATGCCCCACATGTGTAAATATATACATATACACATATATATATCCATATATATGTGTGTGTGTGTGTGTATATATATATATATGTGTGTGTGTGTATATATATATATATGTGTGTGTGTGTATATATATATATATATGTATATGTGTGTGTGTATATATGTATATATATATATGTGTGTGTATATATATATATATATATATATATACACACACACACACATATATACATATATATATACACACATATATATATATATATGTGTGTGTATATGTGTATATATATATATATATATATATATATAGTTAAATAAAATGAACAGATAAATTCAAACCACAAAGCTATGACATTATTTTATTTATTATAAAGGGTAAAAGTGTCTTACCTTGTTTTGAATTCCCGCCTTTTGGCTCTTGTTCTTACATAGGAAGGGCTCATCTAAAAGGCAGTCACTAGATGGCAGTGTTGTTTCGATAACGTTGATTGCATGTTGGTAGATTAATAGATTATTATTAAATTAATGTCCTGTAGATTACGAATGCCAATAGATGAATCGTTTCTTTGTTAGTCTATACTTTTATCTCATTACCTGCTAAGATAAAAGTCATGTTAAATAGCTTAGGCCAAATATAAAAGTTCAACAACAATTCAAAGTGACAGTTTTTAATAGCAAAGAAATGCTTCGTTCAAGTCAAATCCTTCACACAACAGCAAAGTAAAACTTGACTCATTTCAAACAATTACTATGGCAGGTCTAACAGAACATTTTTAAAATACAACCAAAGACCTCTTTTCTTCAAAGTGTTAAGTACACAATTAAAGGTTTATATTGATCAAAACATACAGAGTGAAGTAGTTCCACTGAAGACATTTCAAACAAGATTAGTGTCTGATAGAAACATAACATTCATTTTTACAATAAAAATATTTGCACAAAACATCAAAAGAAAGGCTCAAGGAATAAGGAAAGCATCAAAAATATAAATGTTTGTTTCATTTTTTTTCAATATAGTCACAAATCACGGTTGTGGCAACACATCTCTTAAAATTTTACAGAAATGAAAAAGCATTCCCACCCGCCATGCCTCCCGCCCCTCTTTGATTGTGTTCATTTTCATAGAGCATATCTTATCTGCAACAAGTCCCCGACTAAACAAAAGCTGCACATCAAATCTTGGATATCAAGACTATCAAAAAGGCACAGACAGACAGGTTGCACATAGAGTCAGCTGAAGCTTAAAACAACTAATCCCAGGTTTCTAGTGCCCTCTCACTGAACACGGAAAAGACTATCTACAGATCAGTCAAGTCCCGGCAGGCACCTCGGATTACAAGCCCCAACTACTGCAGAAGAAGTGCATTTCAAACGGATACACAGATGTACTGTCTAGAGCAAAGGTGAGGATCATTAGAGGCATTTCAACCTGAAATCTCACATCAGATGAACTTGGTAAGAGCAGTGTTTTTGAAAAAAATAAAAAATAAAAATCTAATAAATTTTGGTCAAAAATGGCATTACATTGGTAAACCTCTGCACAACGTCAGTATGTCCTGTTTAAAAACGTGCGACAAAATAAAAGTCGACCAGGCAAACTTCCAATTTTACATTAGCTTCCCAAGTTAACCCACAGAAAAAAAGTAATTTGAAAACCTTGGACATGCTGTAAAGACACACTTGAGAATTCATGGATACATGATTACTTTCAAGCAATTCATTCAGATTAATTTAAACAGTACAAGATTTACATCATTTCTGCTTTGTGCAAAATGCCAATTTACATGATTGCATGACAATTCATGAAGTTTTCAAAGAGTTAATTGTCAATGATTTAGACCAAAACAAATATTCCACATTACAAAATTATTTAGCATTTTAAACCAACAAATAATCTATTTGAATAAACTTGTTAATACAGAAAGCACAGGAAACAAAACCAACAGTTATTAAAAGTGAAAATGTTCATATGGAACATGTAATGAAGTTGTGAGGAAAATAATGTAGACCATAAATAGGTTTTTAAAAATAGCTTTGAACTGTTTTAATTAAGTGCTTGAATTTGAGTTGAATTCATCGGTTTTGTTAAGATGTATTTTTTGCATTTCACAATGTTACAAGTGAAAAATAAAAAAACAAATACTGAATTGATGACGTACCAAAAGATTAGGAAAAAATACACAACATGGAGGCTTGAAAATTAGCCAATTCATTTAAAGATGTAACTTCAAAATGTATGTGTAATTACAATTTTTTTGTTAAACAGTCTTCAATTAGCAGTTAAGAGCTGTGAAAATGTGGTATTGTCCATTTTCTACTTGGTACTACTGACACTCAGCAATAATAATAATAATAATAATAACAATAACAATAAGTAAATTTATGTGCAAAGTTACTTCATTTCACTCAAATACAGAAAAAAAGTTTTGTAATTGGCATTACTATATGTGTGTGTGTGTGTGTGTGTGTGTGTGTGTGTGCGTGTGCATGGTTATTCTCCTTTTACAAAAAGATTTACATGCAAACCTTAAAAAGAGAGGGAACTGTTTTTGTATTACAACAAAGACAAAATGAAGCAAAAGAGGACAAAAGCACCATGTGATCGGAAAGTGTGATATACCACAAAGGTAGAACTAAAAGAGCGCAGGCACTCCACGATGGGCTGGCCCGGCTTGAGTGGCACTTAACATTGTCATCTTTGTATACAGAGCTTATAACAGTCATGCAAAGGGCACAGTAGAATTCCCACAAGGTGGAAAAGAGACTGAAAAACGAAACAAAGGGTAGGCACAACCATGTTTTTGACATAGAAACTTTTCTCTGTATTAAACCACGGTGAACACAGCTCGGAAAGAAGCAAGCAGACAGCTTTCTCAAAGCCAAGGCAAAACCCACAGCACAAGCTTAGTTTGTGTTTACTTGATTTTCCATTAACTTCACTTCAACTGGAAGTCAATACAAAAACAAACAAGGGCATTTGAATAGATACTCGCAGAAAATAAAGCATAGATACTCCCAATTTATCTTCTAACTGCACATATTCCATTAAAATATTTAAGACTTTTATGTTATATATATGTTTATATGTTTGTGTATACATTTGTTTTGGGGCATTATTGTGTGTGTCAAATATTTAAAATACATAAACTATGATCAAATAGACAGCTTTAGAAGAGTGAAACCTCTTCAGAGATGGCTTTTGGCCCATGAGGTCTCTGGCTAACTCTGACTTGTTTGCATAAATCAGTTGGTTTTCCTATAAACAAGAAAATATACATCCTCTATTCGAACAGTGTGACAGGCAATGAAATACTAAAGATGATGATTGAGTAACGTTGCTTGCTTGTTTAAAAGTCACCACAGCACAACAGCTAGTTTATGACCGCACTAAACAAAAGGTGCACAGGGAATAGCCAGAGCCGCACAGCCTTTGACAATGACGCAGACAATGGTTGATCGTGGCTTTGAAACAAATACCACCCCAGACTGTAACCTGTGATATGACCCCCTCCTCCCCTCACCTCCAACAGTGTCACACAAAATGACTGATTTGTCGAGTCCGATCGCCATTCCTGAGCAAAGTGACCTTGACACGCGAGACCAGGGAAGGGGTCCAGATGATTAGGACAACAAAAGAGGAAATTAAGGTATAACCAAAAGTTACTGCGATGTAGTAGAAGTGGGGAGGAGCAGTGGCAATCCAGATGCCAGTCCACAGATTCCTATGTAAACAGAATCACAGACTGTTAGAAGTATGTAAAGTGACAACACACTGTTGGTAATTGTACGATATAAATTCATATTTCATTGCACTTTCTAATAAACCAATTATCTGTCCCACAATGAAGTCAAATCCCACTTTGGCTCTACAAGGACATTTTCCTCATATACTATACTATAAAAATCGAATAGTCAGAATTTAAAGGCATGACAGAGGTTTATAAGCTATGTGTCATCTAATTTCCATTAATGTGGTTGTTTTCAGTTTTCTGATATCTTAGCAGTTTATAAAAGTATCAGGAAAGGATTTGTGGTCATTAGCTAGCACATAATTGATTAGCCCTCAGAAGGCAATGCAAATAAAAGTCACACAAAACAGAATAAATGTATAAAAAGGAAACAAAAATAAAATAAATAATATGTTACTAACCTAAGACAGACTGACCAAGCTTATAAAATCTGACTGACCAGTGAAGGGTGTTAGGACCTAAAGCCCGGCTGGAAACGTGCAGTCTCTTCAAAGATGAGCTCCTTTAGTGTCTCTTTGGGTAAATCATCTAGCTCCATGTCAAATTTAAATGGTGCCTCAGCAACAGGCTGCACAGAAATATATACAAAGTAAGAAATTTTAAACTTGACGCATTTTCAGAGTTAAAATAAAGTCCACACCTCATCTGTGGGATCATAGTACTGTTCCAAGTAGGGATGTGCTAGAGCCTCCTCCACCTCGATCCTTTTGTGAGGGTTAAAGGTCAACATTTTGTCCAGCAGATCCAAGGCTATATATATACACACACACACACACACACACACACACATACACACACAGACACAGTTAGTGACTGCCTTGGGGACTGAAAATCATGATACCACTGAACCAGCAGAGGGCTCCACTGTCATAGTGAAATACAAAATGCTGGTCTATACTTGTTAAACATTGTATTTTCCACATCTAACCTTTAGGGTCAGCATTGGGGAAGAGACGATTCCAGGGAACTTTGCAGCGCAGTGGAAGAGACAATAAGTAGTTCCTGGCTTTAATGTTGATGATGCAATTGAGATCTTCTTGAGAAGGAGAGCCAAGAATTCCTAGGAAATTGATGAAAAAATATGTAAATTCATGGTTGTATATTAAAGACTGACAAGCTAAGATTACCATTCAAATATTCATTGTTATTTTATTGTATGGCATGTTTAATTTTACCCAATATGTGGTTAAGTTGATCCAGATAGTGCTTTCCAGGGAAAATTGGTCGGTTGGATAACATCTCTGCTAGAATGCAGCCAACTGACCAGATGTCTATGGACTTTGTATAGCCCTAAAATTACAACATATTACAATTATAATCATGATTAAAATGCTATGCTGCTTTGTCTGAAAATAAGTGCGTGTACCTTGGAGTTGAGCATGATCTCGGGTGCTCTGTACCAGCGTGTGGCTACATATTCTGTGAGGAAACCAGTGTGGTCATGGTCAGGGTCAGCCACACGGGCCAAACCAAAATCACAGATCTACAAAACAGACAAAAACAAAATCGAATTTCATGAGTTTTCAACCATGGTATAACCGTGCTCCCTTGACACAAGCCTAGCCAAAGTTACATTCTCATTGATTTGTGTGCAATAATAATCAGCCTGTATTGAGTTCTAAAAGAAATGTCAGTTTTCTACCTCTGACTTCAGCCACAGTTCTGTTCTTACTAGCCATAGTACAACGGGTCATATGCAGTGTTGATAAATTTTTTAACTGAATACATGTACCAAGAATACAAATTTTGAGTAACAGTATTCCGCTTGCTTTCCTAAAATCTAAGGAATATTTGGTGGTACTCAAACTGCGAAGAATTAATGAGAAAAAAATCAAAACAACGCTCTTGTGGGGAGTGCATGTGTGAGTTTTCTCTCTAATCAGTGATCGGAAATGCAGAGCAAATTATGAAACTAAAGTAAAAGTATTTTTTTGAAACTAAAAAAAAAAAAACACATTTGAAAATTTGCTACTTGTTACAATGAACAGCCACTACTATGGTAAGTCAATGGACATGTTTCTATCACTAAGTCATTTTAGATCAATATTACAATTTATAATGAACAAAATGTAAATCATGATCTCACAGTCTAAATAACAAAATGAGCATAATGTGTCATCACAACACAGATGCACTGTACAGGAAGGGCCAGAGCAGGCTCTATCTCCTGAGGAGACTCAGGTCTTTTGGAGTGGGGGGCCACTCCTGAAGACCTTTTATGACTCTGTGGTGGCATCAGCCATCCTGTACGGTGTGGTCTGCTGGAGCAGCAGCATCACAGAGAGGGAGAGGAAGAAGCTGGACAGGGTCATCAAGAAGTCCAGCTCTGTCCTGGGCTGTCCTCTGGACTCAGTGCAGGAGGTGGGGGACAGGAGGGTCCTGACTAAGGTCATCTCTATGCTGGGCCATGAGTCTCACCCCCTGCAGGACGCTCTGTCTGCTCTGGAGAGCAGCTTCAGTGACAGACTGATTCACCCTCGCTGTGTGAAGGAGAGGTTTCGCAGGTCTTTCCTTCCTGCTGCTGTCAGATTGTACAACAAACACTGCTAACACTGAACATGTACCAGTCAATCATAACCATGTGCAATTATTTTTAAGTCTATTTTTAAATTATTTTAAGCTATTATTTATTATCTGTGTTACCTTTTCCTGCTGTTCTGAAATTGTGCGTTGCAACACTGGAATTTCCCCACTGTGGGACTAATAAAGGCATATCTTATCTTATCTTATCTTTAAATTAAAACAAATGTGTTGACCTTGAGATCACATGTGGTGTTGAGCAGGAGGTTGGAGGGCTTGAGATCGCGGTGCAGGACATTGGCGGAGTGGATGTATTTGAGACCTCGTAGAATCTGGTACAGAAAGTAACAAATGTGGTCGTTGCTCAGGTGCTGAGTTTTGAGGAGCTTGTACAGGTCAGTTTCCATCAGGTCCTGGACAATATAACTGCATAAATTTGAGGAAATTACCAGGAACTAACTCTTTGTTTATACCAGGAACATTCAAAAGATCAAGAAGAGGTTGGAGATAAGGCTGCACAACTTTGAATCATAAAATAGTCACATGTACTCTGTCTGTGAATAGATTCATGTTATATCTAAAAAGTAGGAGTGCACATGGTAAACAACTGAAAGAGAATTAACATTAATGAAAAGACTGAAATATGAAATGCTGTCAGAATGCCATGAATTTCAGAGCAGGTTTGTAGAGTTGGAAACTACAAGACTTTAAAAAAAGGATATTTTGTTGCTTGCTGAGAGCATTATATTATCTAAATACATCATCTGTATAATATACTGAAGTCACTGTACCTGCATGTGGTGCAGGTACAGTGTACATAATAGTACTGTTATTTTTTATTTTATTCATTATATTGCAGTGTTTGTTTTTTTTTAGTTCAAGTTCATTTCTTTATCTTGATTTTTCAGTGCTCATTTCTTTTCTCTTGCTGTTCTTAAACTATGTGTTGCAACACTGGAATTTCTCCATTGTGGGACAAATAAAAGTTCTCTTATCTGAAATAATTGTAGGCTTTGCAATTTAACAACTATGCCAACTCAAAATGTTATTTTGATTCTCTTGTGATATATTGTGCACACCTAGAGGGAGATACATCAAACTGATAATGCACTTGTTTTGGAAAAAAAGCTGACTTTGAATACCACATATAATCTCATGAAAAATATATTTAAAAGGGCAGATTAAAATAATAAAGTATATGTACAATGTAATCTCTCAAATAAGGGTATGGAGTGATATTTTTGCAGTTCTGTAATTTCACAGCCTATTAATGTTTGCACATTAACTGAATACAGCCATAAAGACAATAAAAAGATGATAATAGGGATGTTATTCTGACACAAATTAACAAAATAAAGTAAGGATTGGTTCAGGATTTAACCATAAGATTCATTTGTGTAAAACATACACAACAATGTGGAAGATTTAACAGTTGGCTGCTAGGCTACAGTGAATAGGAGGCCTGCCAAAAGCAAGAAGACAAGTGGCTATTATGTAACAAAAAGCCCCTCTTCAACAGTAACCAAACATCAGTGACAATGTACTGAATCTGAATAGAGCAAGAGGACACTTAACAATGTTTGCTCAGAAACATCAGTAGTGACGTTTTAACAAGGCCCAAGGATACACGTCCTTCATCTGGTCAATGGAGGGAGCGCGGATGATGTCGTTGATTCCAATGATGTTCTCGTGTTTGAAGCGCAGCAGGATCTTGATCTCTCGGAGAGTACGCTGGCAGTACGTCTGGTGCTCGAAGGGGCTGATTTTCTTAATAGCAACACGAATTTTGTTATCCCGGTCATAGGCAGAGCTGAAAGACACATGAAAAACAATGGGTTCAATTATCAAATGAAAATGTAATAAGATACAAGAGCATACTTTATTGTCTCTCCTTACACTAGTCTGTTCTAAATATACACAGGAACATTCAGTTGTAGAGGAAGATGGTGGTGCCAGCAGACGGAGTATAAAGCAGTGTTTGGCCCTTGTTAGAAGACACTGCCTCCTCCACAGTATGGGAATGCAGCCCAAGTGCTGAGACGTCTGCTATACTGTATGTATCTGGCACTATCTTGCAGTAGTGAGAGTACACTTTACAAATACTGTACATTGGAGCTGAATATACACAAAGATGTTATTACAATGGTAATTTACACCTGCCATGTGGTCATTGCATAAGTGTGAAACAGAACAGAAGAAACACATTTTTACTTTGACATCCAAAAATCCAACCCAGGTATTTTATTAGAAGCAAACAACCAACCTGACTGAATAGCACCCACTTAAACTGAGAAAATAAAAGAAAATGTGTCGTTATGGAGATGGGGGTGTAAAGACTGAAATGTAAACATGAGTGTGTCTGCTTCAGCAAAGGAAATATGAGTGACCTTCTTCCATTTGTATCGGCCCTGTGCTGCTGCGTGTGCATGCGTGTGTGCGTGTGTACTGTGTGGGAGGAAACCGTTCTCCATGTAACTGTTACAACAGAAGCTTCTCATGCTCAGAGCAAAGACAAGGCCCTTCCCAAGAATCACAACTACTCCACACAAACTCAGCATGTCAACTCAAAATGACTTTACAAGTTCATACATTTAGTAACAGACTCAAAAAACTGACCACTTTAAATCGTTTAAATTTGTATAAACATGTACAAACACTCCACATATTTTCTGTGTGGCAGTATAAAGCCAAGCCCAGGACACTCACAGCAGCACAGCAAGCTGTTGTTTAGCCTGTGTCTTATCTACACAATCTTTACAGCTGATAAGAACCATGCACACACTGGTGCACAGTTTGGACCTGTACAGCTGTGGGAGCATGCTCAGAGCATGCTGCAGGAGTACAGGGGGCAGCGTTTCCATGGAGACCACAATACAAGGCCTTACACTTCAGCCGCACAGTTATGCAACAGCCTGCTCTGTTTCCATGGCAAAGTTCAAGGGGGTGAAAGCCCACATTTAAGGACAGCTGCATTAAAAAAATATGTGATATGTGCATCCCTCACACCACTAAAGACAAGCTTTACTGATCCACAAACACAAGGACAATTATGTGGACACAGCAGTAAAAAAAACTAAAAAACAATATAAAACCTACACCTCATCAGAGTACATAATGACATTATTTCACTAACTTAGTGGCTATGTACGAAGATGTACTAATCTAATTAAAAATGTAATAATCAATAATAAACTAAAGAAGAAATCAAGTTAGTCTGTTTTTAATACATTACACCTAAACAGACTGCATCCACTTGAAGTTGTATTTCAAGAGCTTCATGCATGTTTTCAGTCATTTTTATTCTCCTGCAGTTAAGAATCCATTGCTGCTTTGTACAGAATACAACACCACATGCCACATGTTTTTTTTTTTTTCTTAATTGGTGATACACTTACAATTCATACACTTACAATTCAGCAGCATCTCAGCCATTCTGGCACAAATGAAATATCCTCTGCTCCCTAGTGTGATCTGTAAAAATCTGAGTCAGAGTTTTCAAAAAGTCAGCAAGTTGTTTCTTTTATTAAATTGTTTTAGAGCAATATTGCAATGTCCAAACTGTAACTTTATAGCAGACAACAGCACGATAGGACTTCTTTAATCATAAGCTTTCTGATGCATTGTATAATCATGATTTCAATTATGATTAAATAATCCTGATTATTTCTTTTTTCATAATGAAGCAGCTCTACAGTCAGACTCTCACACTGCATTTGGATGAGGCACTCTCAGCTTTAGAGAAGGACTTGAAAACAACAGCAACCAAAGCTCTTCAGTCTGAACACTGCGGGCCAGGCAGAACTATATTCTGGTCTAAAAAAAGATGAGAAGAGGACGCATGCAAGCTGATCACATGAGACAGTGCTGTTACAAAGTTATTACTTTGTAAACCATTTTAGCCTCAAATTAAGCACTAATGCAGATCTTTCAGCATGAGATGATTCATGAATGCCTTAACAGACTGAAGCTTTGATTTCCAATGCAACAGTGTGCATGAACGTCGCATCCTTCCTAACCCTGAAGTCATCACGCTCGTCTTGGTTGCTACGCTATAATCACACAAATTACATCGCCTCTTGAATTGCACAACAGGATTTCAGAGTGTCAAGGCTCTCATTCTCTCCTTCCTTCTCCCATTGGCTGCAGCGTGGTGGTACTGATGTCAGAAACAGAGGGGTTGCCATGGAGACGGGCGCCACGGTGGCATTTCAAGAGGACGGCTCACGGCAGAATGAAGCTGAACACCCTCAGTGGCTACAGCTCAGACAGGTCGAGCCAGCCAAATCCATCAAAATAAATATATACATAAATATTAATTTCAAGAGAACCATTTTTTGCAACAACCAGTAAATTATCCAACAAGAAATATTTTTAAATTTCATTATTTTTTTGTAGATGACAGTTATTATTTTCAATTTTGCAATAATAGTATTGGTCACTACAATGTAGGAAAACTTTGTCCTTGTTCATATAAATAATTGCGACTACTGACATAAAACTTAAGATTTTAGATGTAAAAAATGCATTTCTTGGCTTCAAGATGGCATACAAGAAAAACAACTGATACCCATGAATACATTACAATCAATTACATTATGAATAGCATGATATGCTAAGAGGGCATTATAAATTATGCTGGTTACAATCATCCCACTAAGCCTCAAACTGAAACAAACTTTTGTAACTCGGGACACTATTCCCTTCTCCACACCTCCTGAAGCACAGAAGAGTAATGTAAACATGACTGTAAACCACATAGCATGTGTTTCCAAATCATAAAATAAGTGAACCAATTTGATCAAAAAATTTAATGTGTATAAATGTCTCTTATGTATGCTCTTGAGTTAAGTTTTCCAAGCAGTCAGGAAAAAAGAATGAGGAAATAGTTTCTTCTGGTAATCTGTTATTCAGGCAAATGAGTATTATGACAACAAAATCTTATCAGGCCAGTATAATCATAAGCATGCTGACATTCAAAATACAATAGCCCTTTATCAAAATCTAATATGCACAGGCTAAGATGTCTATGGGGAAACATATAGCTCCTACAATCCAAGGGTAGCAGCACACACCCCATTACTCGTGTATGGCAATTCAAGGGGGGGGGGGAGAAACACTGACAGCTTGTTGCATGTAAGTAGTATTCTACTGTTGCTGCATTGCAAAACTTGCGAGTTAAAAGTGTGAGTATGGTTTATTGTTCTCTACATTTGACTAGTAAAGAAGTCCACAATATCATGTTATAAAACATGAAAAAGGCAAAAGACATTCCTGGTGATGTGGCGGAAATAGCGCGGACTTGGTGCTGCTGGTTAGCCAACAATTATACATCTACAATATTTGGTGTGCATATTAGCCTCGATTCTAGGAGTAAAATGTCGATGTCACTAGAAATGGCTCTGTACAAGAGACGGAAAAACATATTTACTTACCACACCATGCCGTAGGCTCCTTCCCCGATGTACGAGAGGTTGCTATAGCGAGGCCCGACGTCGAAGGCCTGCCCGCGGACGAGCTCCGTACCTGGCCCGGGGCTGGGGCCGCAGCCAGCAGGGGCAGACACCGCAGCCGTCGCCATTACGAGTACTAGCTTTCTAGTAACTACGCCAACAATCAGAAAAATTAGAAGGGGTAACGAATATGCGCTCCAATCCGAAGCTCCTATCTACGAGTATCACGGTGGGCCTGGGACATGTAAAGAGTGTTTGCGTTTGACCGTGCGTTCAGAGCGAGCACACTGCTGTAATGTAGAGCGCAGGCGGAGGGAGGCTGAGCAGTGAGCACAGCACAGCACAGCACCGATCCACTCTACTGCAGGAAATAACGATTGTCACGTGACAATCTCTTGCTTATACCATTCTGGCTCATGTCTTTTTGGAGAAGTATTGAAAAAACTTCACTAGACCAACTTCCTTAAGAATTTATCGGGATATTTGCAACAGGGCTTATGGGACATGAATTACAAGAAAGTAAACATCATCTACTGCATGGGATATTTTGTTTGCTTTTGTTTTGTATGCTGCGTGTTAAAGTCTGTGTCTGTTTACAGATTTCTAGATTTTTAACAGCGATGCTCTGGGTGAAGATAAGTCAGCCAAACGCAAGGTGGCGGTGTTGTTGTATACGTAAAATGAAACGATGGCTAAAGTGGTCCTAAACACCAGTGACCTGCCTTTTAATTTCTGTGTTAACTCTTTGCTTAGGGTTCGTAGTTGTTTAGTTTAATTATCAATCTGTCAATTTGTGAATTGTTGTAATAGCTCCACGATGGTGCCGTCATTCATCCGGATTTATTGTGAAAAACCCGGGCAGGACACTGCTGTTTCCTGTTAGCTCACGCGCTAATGTGTAATGAAACCCCCCAGACTGCCCTTGACAGAGACACGTGAGTTTAGCCAAGTTATAACTTATATTTATACTAAAAACATGAGTAAAATCTAGGTTAATTATTTATCAAACGCGGGGAATTTTAAGGTGAATCGGGCTTCCGGTATTGGCTCCTATAAATATGACTTCTCATTATAAACTACTACTGGTTTTACTGCAGCGACGTGTTAAAGTAGCCCAAATAGCCTTACCAACAGTGATCAAAGCAAATGTATCAGGTGGTCGTGGCTTTATCCAGCACAGGTTATTGTCCTCTGCAGTTCGAGATATCAGGATTAAAAGTATATTTGAGACGCAGACTGTTCTGAGGAGCAGCTGTCTTCATTTCTGTACCAAGGTGTGTATGACAGTTCTCTTCTGTCATTCAGTAAACTACATCAACCCATGATCCAAGTGTTAAAGTGTAATTGGGATACTATTGCATATTTTTGATTCATGGTAATTTATGATTTGCAGTCACCGATAGAAGATGAGTATCCTCCTCTGCCAGATTATCAGTCTGATTTAGATTTGCAGAAAAAAGAGATTTATATTATTCATGTGAAAGGTCTGCCATGGTCTTGTACACCCCAGGACTTATTACATTTCTTTTCCGGTAAGTTCAAAATACTAAATAATGATAAAACTTATCAATAGTTGTGTTTATGTTTGTCAAAGTTAACAGTGGTTTCTTTCTGTTACACTCCAGAGTGCAGAATTCGTGACGGTGTGAAAGGAATTCACCTTACCACTGATCGATCAGGCAGGCCGTCCGGAAGAGCATTCATTGAAGTGGAACATGAAGAAGATGTCAGGAAAGCCCTGGAGAAGCACAGGCAGTATTTGGGTCCTCGCTATGTAGAAGGTTGTAAATACAAAATGGATGCATTACTTAAATTACAAAGACTTGTAAATACGTAGGTATTCATATTTTGTCTTTTTTAGTTTATGAATTTACCAACAATGATGCTGAAGCAATCTTAAAAAATGCTGAGGATGGGGCATCCTCAGACTGTGTGGTACGTCTCCGGGGTCTGCCTTATTCCTCCTCTGAGGCAGATGTTGGACAGTTTTTTTCAGGTAGGCTAAAATGTGTAATGAGCTTTTGCTCATGAAGATGGTTTTGCTCTGCCCGAAATGTTCCACAGTACAACATTAAAGTTTTTACTGCTAAAAAAAATACCTTATTTTTTTACTATGAGGAGGATCATCTCTCCACAAATCTGACCTGTAATTTGGCTTGCTGTACAGTGTGGAGCATTTTATACAAAGCAAAGAAAATGCCCATGGAGACAGGTGGTGGACCCTCCACCTTTTTAAATATATACATTTTCTCACTTTCCTGTATGACTAGTTCATTCTTTTCAGCGTTAACAATTTATTACTTCCCTTACAAAAAGCTGTGCATAATCCATATTCTATATTTTAGGTTTGGATATCATGCAGAATGGCATAACAATTGTTAAAGATCACAAAGGGAGGAACTCTGGTGAAGCCTATGTTGAGTTTACTTCCCAAGAAGCATTTGAAGAGGCTTTGCGAAGAAACCGAAAATTGATTGGAAACCGGTAAAGGAAATATCTTTAGTACTTTTAAACATCTTTGAGTGCAAGATTTTCCCTAATGGTCCTTTTACCTGATGCCTGTGACTCTTTCAGATACATTGAGGTTTTTCCGAGTAGACGAGATGAGATCCGTACAGGCTGGAGGAACCGCTCAAATTCAGATCCACTCCAACACAGTTCTCCTCCTACTCCCAGAAGACTTACATCTATGGCAAACAACTCTCATAGAAATGGTGAGGAATATTGTAGGACAGAATATGTATTGTCGTCTTTATTTTCTAGGTTTATTATTAATTTATATGCTCCTTTTTAGAATTACCTCTGAGTTCATCCCTGCTATCACATTATGTTCATATGAGGGGCCTCCCATTTAGTGTGTCTGGAGAAGACATTGTCAAGGTATACGAACAATCTTATGATAGATTCCAAATCTATTTTGTCATCTCATTGTATGGTGTTATAAATGTACTGTTGTGTATTTTGCCACAGTTCTTCTCCCCGTTGGTGGTGTCAAAAGTGCTAATTGAGTTTGGCCCAGATGGACGGCCAAGTGGAGAAGCTGATGTGTACTTCACTTGTCATCAAGAGGCAGTCGAAGCCATGTCCAGAGACAGAATGCATATAGGTGAGTCAAGAATGTGATGAGATAATTAAGTTTAAATACAAACTGTTAAGTGTACACAAAACTCTAAGCAATTTTTATATTTCCAGGAGAAAGGTATATTGAGCTCTTCCTCAACTCTGAACCGGATAGTGAAAGAAGGTAAGAACTGAAGCATACAACTCTGGATAGCTGGTGATCTTGATTAATCTAGAACATTTTTCTTGTACTCTAGGTGAATGAAAATGGGAGACCAGACACAGCAATTAAGCAACACAAAGAACTGTTATATTAAGTCAGCATGAACATTAAATAAACATTCCTGCAGTTTAGCTAAATTTGTTGGTTTTGTATTTTCTCAACATTCTGTTTTCCATTTAAACATTTGCTGGGTTTAAAGTGACCACAACAAGAATATAGCTTAAACTATTTTTCTTTATTCATGCTTGCAAACATGCACAATTTTACATAATGGAGTCTCTTGGTATGTGCAAGTTTTACAGTAAACTAGAACACCCATCTCTGCATCTTACAGAAGCCAAGTTAAATGGGAGGCGCAGTTGTTAGTATGTGGATAATTTTGCATAGACTATGCACTGGCACATTTTTTTTTTCATCAGCAAATAAAATAAATGTACCCTTGTTAGTAATATGTTACAATGTATCAGCTAAAAGGTAAAAATCCACATAGTGGACATGATAAAATTAAATTAATGAGATGATGGGCTCCTCACATCTTAAAAGTTGAACTCTATTTCCTCTTATATCACATATTTGCAAAACACTCCCTCCATTATTGTCAAACATTAAGACATCTTTGACTCCAGTTAATTTCTTTATAAAGTGCGTAAGCATACTTCGATATTTGGCTTTCAGAAGATTTAAAGGATGAACTGCCAGTCTAGCTGTAAAAGCATTTTCAGGTAGGGGATGAAGCATATTGCTGGAGTAGCAAGCCATAGCAGTCACTGCACACACACTCTGGGAGAATGGAGGACGGCAAAGGCAGCTCGTTGGATACACAGCTTTCACAGAAGACACCACTGCAGTTCTTACACTGTTTCTGAATTTAAAAAAAAAAAAAGATAAATAAGTGTCCTGTCCAATACTTTTAGCCAATGTTTGTTAGTAGCATCTTACTTTAACTTTGAGCAGAGAGTCTTGCTGTTCACACTTGATACAAACAGAGGTCTGAGTGATTTCTAAAAATGACTCATCCTGAAAATCAAACAAGGTGAAGTAAAGAAATAACAGCATATTTTCATTAATCTCATATGCTTTTGGGTGCTACAATATCTCACCTGCTCATCCTCATGATGTGATAAAGATCTTAAAAGGAAATCAGTTGTTTACTACATTAAATTTAGTTCCCAATATAAAACACAAGCAGGTGTATGGTTTAAACTACTTACAAACTGGAACTCAGACTGGCCTGGTCCTCCTGTCCTGAGAGGGACTGCTGACTGCCCTTTTTCACCAAATTAGATTCTGGCAGACTCTGACCAGAAAAAAAGTCAACATAACAATGCAATCCCTTAAAACAGCTGCTAATAGGATTTTACTCAGGCTAATTAGATAGTGATTTACCGTAGCCGTTGTTTCAGTTTGCCTCCTTTCCCTTTGCGGTGCGCTTAACTGCCTGGGTACAATGTGGGCTTGATGTTCACCTCTGTGTTCTTGCTGCCTCTTTATTTGATACAGCAGTTTTGACCTAAAGAACAAAAGCACATGGAAATATCACCCCACAGGAGTGCCTTTCTCATGGCTATATTTTCATACAATAAATCATTGAATTTGTATAGTGGCCCAAAGGATACCCAAAATACCCAAAGGATTTTTAATTGCATTATTCACTCTATACTTGGTGGTGGTAAGCAAACCACAACTGCTCTGGGGCAGATTGACAGAAGCTAGGCTGCCTATTGGTGCCATCTGGCGTCCAACTACCAATCACTCACCCCCTCATCTCATTCATGCTAGGCAATGTGGGAATATTGTCATGCCTAATGATTCACTGCTGTCCCACTGTGGCACCCAGCGGTCTCCTATCCAAGTGCTAACCAAGCCCAACCCTACTTAACTTCCAAGAGCAGGCATTGTTAAGGTGGTCACATATGTGTCAAATTATATGGATGATTATTACAAATGACTCTACACATTTTTTCTTTATATGATATACACCTGAAAATGAACACAAAGGTGTGCTTCAAGTAAATCGGTAAATTGTACCTGTGTTTCTTCAGATGCTCCACTTCTTCCTGTAGACTCTCAATTTTATCACCAAACTCGAGTTTGAAGAGGCGGTTGGCCTCTAAGGCCAATTCCTTCTCTTTCTCCGCCTGTTTGCATCTAGTTTAGGGGGGTGGGTGTTACAAAAACATTGTGAAACAAAAATGAGATGTAAACATGGTTAAAAAGAGGCAAGAAACAAAGAGGGAAGAGTGGAATGGATGAAAACTTAAGGATAACGCAAGCCATTCAATGTTGATTTTACATTTTATTAGACTATTGATGATCACTACAGTTTACACCAATCTTAGATTCACAAACTCCAAATTAACATGATTAATTAACTGCTTACCAAAATGTGTAACAGCTCCTCCTTTTGTGATTTTTCAACAAAATGCTAATGTAGACAAAATGTTTAGTCTTTGGAATATTACTTAATCAACAGTCTGCAGAGTTTGTGTGTTGTGTTGGCAAGTACAAGAGAAAACCATCCAGTATTAATATTTATTCTGCACATTGTGCATCAAAAAGTCCAAACAATACACAAGATAAAAAAGAGAAAAATGGTTGAGGTTGAAAAATTTGAGTAATCTAAAGCTGATATACAATTACTGCAGGAAGAGTGTTTCTGTTTTTTAAGAACTATTTTAGTCAGTTATGGATATATGTATAAGACGGTTGTAGTTTATTTAAGTTTAGGTCAGTGAAGCACTTTGACTGCTACAGCTGGAGAACTTTCCCTGCAGCTAAATTTAGACTTTTGGCTTGCTTTATTAAATCCATGTCGCTAAAAAGATTTTAATTAATAATAAAAGAAACAGAAATAATAATAATGAATAAGAACAGGTAGGGTGAGACACAAGATAAAAAAAAAAAGATTTTGGTAAATATGTGAAAATGCTAATTGATTTTTAATTTAATCTACATCAAGCCACAAAATTATTTAAAAAGGCACTCACCTGGCTTCCAGTTGTTTTATGGTTCCTGACATTTGGTTTATTTTCTCCTCCATTCGGCTAATTGCTTCACTTTTCTGTTTAGAGCTGGCCTCTGCACTCTAAAACAACAAAGCATGTCAGTGAATATAAATATAGATATTATTTAGTTTTATAGTGGTGGTTTCAAAGGTAGTCATCTGGACAATGTTTTCCAAATAGGAGCTATCCATGTCTACGAAGAACGCCTCCTGGTTGAATCAAGAATTATATAGCCATGTTTTATGTTTCCTGATGGAGATTTAGTATCTGTCTTTCTCCGACTGTGAATTTGATTATTAAATTTTGTTGTGTTATGTAAATATCATAAAACAAGAAAATAAAAAATATATCTCCATGTATGTGTCGTCCCTCTTGTCTCCCAGCTAAGTTATGTTCTGGTACATAAACTTACCTGGGCCTTGTGGCTAAGCTGTAGGTGGATGGCTCGCATGTCATCTAACTGCAGTCTGAGCTCCACCAGTGCATCCTGCTTTTCACAAATGTCTTTCTCCAGCATCTTCATGGACAGCTCCATCTCCTGTTTGATCCCAATTTGTACTTCCAGCTCCTTCTCCACATCCTGCAAATTCAAATACCTTAAATGTTAAGGAACAGCAAAACCACTTACTGTACATGATTTTTAGCCTTATATTTTTCTATTCTCCAGCTGCTTTTGAATTTTGGAACAATGGCATCTCCCCATGAGACAAATTAAGGATATCTTTCAGACCAATTTTAAAAATATGGATTTTATCAAAGTACCAGGAAACACAAATATTGTACAAAATATAGACTCAATATTAACTTTTCCAATAACATTCTAAATAGCAGCTTAACCAACCAAACTCTAATGCGTACCAATCTGAGCTGGGTTTCCTCTTTGAGCTGCTTGCGAGTTTCACCCAGTGCCTGGCCGTTCGCAGAGTCACTTCTTACTGCCTGAAATAGAATGAAAGAAATAACTTTAGACTCAAAAGAAATCAATAATCAGAGGCTTAAACAGCTGTTACAGAAGGTCACCTTTCTTGACTCCAACTGATGTGAACTCTCTTCTTTTACCCTTTCCACTTCTTCTTGTAAAGTGATGAACCGGTTGTTTACCACTGCAAGCTGTTGTAAAGTACAAAACATAAAACTAACAAATGTATAGTCACAGTACCATTTTTAATGACCTAATAAATATCTTACCTCTTCTGTAAGTCGAGCATTTGATTTTTCCAGAGCATCAGATTTGGCCTGAAGGTTATAAACCGATGCACTAAAAAGAGCAGATGCATTTTACCTTGCATCTTCAAGCTTTATAATAAACAGATTAAGAGTATTTTTTACACACCTTAACTGTCTATTTAGCTCTTCTAAATAATTTTTCTGATCAAGGATGGCGGTGATCTGACCATCACTGTCAAAACAACGCAAAACTAATGTGTCAGAAGTAGGTTACTAAAATCTATAATTGTAATATCAGTGAACTGCACTTACCCCTCTGCACTTTTACTAGTGTTTCCACCATCTTTAAGATACATGGAGAAATCAATCACTCCAACCTGAAAAAAGTGAATATGTTGTGTGTTAATAAATGTTAAATGCAATTTCTGTTATAAAATTATATTCAGATTATTACCTGTGAATCTAAGTCTTCCCCCTTCATACATAGGTTTGCATCAATTACATTTAGCCCAACAAGCAGCCCAGCAATCACTGCTCCCTCCTCTTCCATCATCAATGCATTTGGCTCATAGAACTCACTATAAAATAAGCATTGAGATTAAAAACTGGGTTACAAGCTTAATTTAAATTTACTTTATGAGGTACCAAAATCAAACCTGAGCAGATCCTTTCTGTTGATGATAGTCTTCATGTAGTCAGAGAGCTTCTTCTGCATCAAAGCCAGTCTGAGCCAGGCACGCCCTCGTCCCAACGGTGTCCTGCCACAAAACACATTATTTAAAAATTACACATTTAAAACTTTTAATATAGAAGAAAATGAAAATTGTAATGCTAGATGTAGTCAGACATACTTGAGTCCAGGAAGGTCTTTTACACTGGCAGTTATCTCTCCAGCCTCAGGATTTAGCTTCTCAACCAGTTCAAGCGCTCCCCAGAATGACTTGTTCTGACCAAGGAACGTCTTCTTGGCTAAATTTTAAGACATAAAATTGGCATATTGAAAAGTGTATGTTGTGTAAGTGTTTTAGTTCACCATTACTTACTTTTTAAACCATGCTTCAAACAGTGCTCCATCACAACAAAAAACTGCTGCAGGGGTGCATAGTCAGAATCCAGAGTACGTCCCAAGTTAAGAGCTGACTCAATGAGACCTTTGATGCTCAGTTTGGCCATGTTCATCAAGTTAAGCCTTTCAACTGCAATAGGGTCTTTAGGATCTACAAAACAGAAAAAACAACTTTAAAACGAACACACAATATTTGCACATTCCACATATTACAGCTACAAATCAGAGTTTATTTGTACATTTCCTTATCAACAGGGTAAAATGAAATACACTCTTTTGCAGAAGCAGACCCAGAAGAAGAGTCTTACTTTCCATTCCATACACTGACAAAGATGTTATGTATTTGTAAGTAAGCAGAGAATGGCAATGTTAAATGTATGTAATTTATGTTTAACTGCCCGGAACAAGACCTAGCTTTAGATCCCCCAGGAAGTATTTTTTGAGGACTTAAAAAGGCGTGGCTTAAGGTTTTTAGGAGTTACGATCAATAGAACCTTCCCAATGAAATGCAAATGTTCACACATTAACATGACAAAGAAATAAGTGTAGATGAGAGGGAAAATTTAAATTAAACATAATGTCCTTTGTGACAAGTATGTTAATTTGTGCAATGCTAATAATATTGACAAAATATATGTTTTTGTTTCCCAGTCAGCGTAATACTTCCCAGTTGCAAGGCAGCTTGGTCTTGGTTATTTACAAGTGCAGTCATCTATTGCCCTCAAATCCCAAAGCATCTTCTACAAAATCCATGTTGATGACACAGCTCCAATAGGACATCACAACAGCTTCATGGTTGTCTTCACCACACCCATTTAATTACACTCCATTATCACAAAGCTTGTCTACATTAGTCTCTTTACCTTCATGTGCTGGCTCTGGGTCTGGGGTAAGGGAAATGTCATTAAGCTCTCGAAGACAAAGCCAATCTCCATCGACAGAAACACGGAAATTGCACAGATAAATGGTCTCCCGGGCAGCCTGGGTGATCTTGTCCGTGGTGGGAGTGGGTGTTTCGCTTTGAGGCGTCAGATCAGACATGATGACTCAGCTGACGTGGACCAAAAGCAACAACACAACTAGGAAGGGAAAAACTGAAGACCTGGTCCACCAATTTAAGAATGCTCAAAAATAATCAGAAGGAGAAATAAGACTGAAAACAAAGAGAAAAACAGGCCAAAATGAGGAGGGCCACAGCAGCTTTCAGCAGGTGTTTAAAAGGTCCTCCTCCTAGGCCTGCATCCTCTTCTCCTCCTTGTGATAAATAGCTGCTGTGTTCAGAAGGCTTCTCCAAGCGCTTCCCTCGTTCTAAGCCTTCTCTCCCTCCTCTTTGACCACTGGCTTTTGTGCAGCTCGGTGGTTTCAAATGCAAAGAGCGGTGATGAGGAATCAGGGGCCAGTGTCACTGAGATTAGCTTCAGTGGTCTATGACTGGACTCCCTGTGCACTGCAGGGAATGCACTGGGTGGGTGTAGACCAAGATGGCCGACAGTGGTGCTGAGTAGAGCAACAGAAGTCACGTGAGCAGATGGTGCAAGAGGGGGAGGGGGGGGTCCCCAGAGTACTGAGCTAATGCTAATGATGCAGGCATGGATGTATAATCATGAAAGCAGAATCCCTCTATAGCATCAACTGGCTCTGGTTTAAAAATCATAATTACTTCCTCTTTGGTAAAGGAATAATAGGACACACTGCATGTCCCAGGAAACAATAAACGACAAAACATACAAATGTGGAAGTCATTTTAGTTAAACACAATCGAAGATGCTGCTGTAAAACAGCAAGTGCATTATTAAGACCTAAGCTGATGCACACTATGTTGGGTTGTTTATGTAATGTACACAAATACTCACAATTATGTCAACTGAATTTTGTTCTTTCTTTTCTCTAAAGATAGACATCCAGCAACGACTGGTTGTCTCTGAGTCTGGATTGGAACTGCAGTTTCCTAATATTATATTAATAGCAACATAACTCAAAATGGTAGAACTGCATTACAGCCGCTGTTAAAATATGACTGGATAAGTGTCTGGAATCATAAACTAAACAATGGACTAGGGGCTCATTTTATCCTATTGATTTTCAGTAGGACTTTCATTATTTATTGATAAGTCCAGAACATGGTAATTTTAACACTGGACTAATTTTATGGTTTGACAAAACTGTAGCCCTGAATAAAAATATATTTGTTTATGTGAGTCGTTCATTTTAAGTCAGAGGGTGATTCAGAGCTGGGTGATAAATCAGCACATGACAACAAACAACACCAAAACTTGTTGGAATTTTAAGATATAATACTACATTATATACCTTAATAACTATTCATGTGTAATGATTTGGTGTAAATACTGTAGACAACCGGGCGAGACAAAGGCACATGTATGTTGGGTGGTTTACTTTAAACCTCTCAAGCAGGTGGGGCAGGTTGTTGTGTTGACAGATCAGCTGTTAACCGATAATAACTTAATGGCAAACACAAACATCAAAAAGCAGGTTATCACTGGTTTACCTAATATTACTTACTTTTGAGCCTTGACTCGGGTTTCTTAATCTGGAAGTCATCACGTCGAAGTGGGGTGGGTGACAGAGACTGGGGTGAACCAAACCTGACGCTAGACGAGCTCAGAGCCTCCTTGAAATAAATGACAGAAGTGGGGGACAGGGTCTCGTCTGGGCTGTCAGTGTGGCCGTTTTCGTCCGAAGGGTTGAGCTTTCCACTGCTTCCCTCCTGTTGTAGATCCGCCATCCTGCCTGCCTTCCTTTTCAAACTCACTTCATGTGACCCACAGCAGACTTATCGAGCAGGCACTGTGTATATTAGCTGCGGCTACATACCAAGGCTATGCATTCCTTTAGCTTAACAGGATACAATCGATTAATACGGCTCTGTCTTCGAAACAGTGTAACTTCGAACTATTTAATTTGCCACTCAAACGTGCGATCTGTCCTCTACAGTCACATCCAAACCCGGAAATAGCTTAATTATTGGTCAAATTGCTCCAAATTTCGCGAGAAGAGCGACAGCAACCCATGCAATCCGTTTATTTAACCAGAAATACTAATCACAATCAAGATCGCATTGCGTTGACTATCTATTATGCTGAGCAACGAGTCCGCTCCCATGAGTCTTTGCGTCATAGTACCATAGTGCATAGCTCTCTTGCTTGTTGGTGCATCTCCGTACTATTAGGCTCTTTGGTTATTTAACTCTTTCTACGCTGGTCCGAAACAAATGGCATGTCTATCCAAATAAAAGTAAATAAGAGGAAATTGAAGCAACTACATGCATTGTAATAGGCTTCCATTTGTATTCTTATGTTTGTGTAATTTAAGGTAATCATTTTAGTGCATACTCTGATTAGTATTTATATAATTTTTATTGCAAAGCGTTGAGCGATTTTGTCTTAATCTGTGAGCAGCTGCTGTACCACCATAGTCAGTAGCTCGAGTGAAATGCATAGAACTATAATAAATAGATCCATGAGTGAAATGCATAGGCCTACATAATCATGCTATACACTCCACCAGGTGGTGCTATTGGTTGATAATCACTCACGGCCCGCATGCTCTCCAGGGATCTGAGGACTTGAAATTGACCTGTGAAGTGATTATCCTCTTTTGAAGTCGAATAAAATCATAACTGCAGACTAAGGCCTGTGGTGCAGGCCTATTAGTAAGTAGCATCTGTTTATTTTAAATGCATTAGCACAACTTGCTAGTACAAAATAAGGCCATCTATGGTTTCGACTCAAATTATTGGTTTACATGGGCCTGGAGAACTAAATTATCATTACTTGGGCCTTGGCATATTCTCTGCATTGTCTGCAAGTGCCTAAGTGAACATGCAGTCGTGTTGGACTGCACTTTGTAAATGTAAACTTCACTGTACCCTCATGGTTTATAGACTAAATGCAGATCTGAAGTGTGATGAATAATGATTGTATAGGATTCAGTGTAAACTGTGGGAGAGATGGGTTCACCAGCCGCGGGAGGAGGAGTGGCTAGCTGCTGAAGGATGGTCCTGACAGAGGCAGCGTGTTGTGCCACACGCGCCGCAATGTTTCACTCAAAACTTTTGTGAGCTGTGACAGGACACTTCTTCAGCTTCAGACACTGAAGAGCTGACTCCAGCAAGAGACAGGTAGGCTGCCTCTGAACTCACTCCCCAGCTCCGATGATGGCTATAGCATACCATCGCAGACCCATGTCAGTAACTTCTGTGACCTTGTCAGATGTGTAGGCGCCTGTCTTGAATGTTTAAAAGCGTGCTTGATATCAAGTCAGTACAATTATAACGGAAATATTTCTGATTCGTGACAGTTGCACAATTATGTGCGTAAAGCTACAACAGCTGGATGCAGTTCGATTCAAACTACTTCTTATAGGACAACGTCAATGCCATGCTCTTATAGCAGTAAGAAATAGGTTTACGATAACAGAGTTAAGATAATGTATACATTATGTACATTATGTATACATTATCTTACGTGAAAAAAGTTTCAGTTGTGGTTGTTTTATTCGCATTCTACGGGAAGCTTTGAGTGCCTTGAAGGTGAAAAGCGCTATATAAAGATGTGACCATTTATCCTACACTCAGTCTTTTTACAGCGATTGGTGGGCTATTGTCTTATGTTATTTAGCAAAAGTCATGTTTAAATAAAAATAACTGTAGGCTATTAAAAACAAAAAAAACTATACTGTGGATGAGTTAAAATGATCCACGTGTCTCTCTGTACAGTGCGACATCAGCTGTCATTCCAGTGAACACAGCGCATTGACTGAAGAGTGTTTTGACACGCCACCTGCAGACATGAGTACCACCAAGAAGTAAGTCAACATCCCCTTAAATTATGGTCTTTTACTTTTACTTTAACTCTTTGAGCATTTCACAACCATCACTTTACAGCAAATCAAAATATCCTAGATTGTTTGATATGATAAATTAATTATGATAGTAGCAATATTTGGTGGTATAAAGCTATTTTAAAGAATACTGATGATTTTGCTGCTAGTATTACACTAATTTACACTTTTAAATGTTGTGACATGCCTCTTTTTCCTGTATAGTAATATTTGTACTGTGCTACAGTCCAAATCAGTTGTGAAATGTTTTGAATGATTTATAAATCACCAGTCCAGTTAAAGTTTTTTCTTGGAGAAATAGTGGTTAACAAATATCCAGAAAAGTTTTTCTATGAAGGCTTAGGTGACTGGCCCAGCCTCTTCTCTGCATACGACATAGATATACTGTACAAGGACACTGATATGTTATCTACAATTGACTGATAGAAGTTCAAAGTAACAGTCTTAGCAGGAATAACCTGTCATTGTTAAAAATGTATAAACTGAAATTCAATTAAAACTGCATCTTCATTATTCTTATAATATTAACATCTTATGCCTTACAACTGCACTTGTTACCATTAAATTTAATAGTATGATTTAAGAATATGTTCTATAGAAGCTTGTGTGGCAGTTTGCTGTTGTGATCTCTGACTTGCTGCAGATTCTTATATGAGATGAGATCCTGTTGCTCTTAACTGTGTGGTCAGATGTCCAGGCTGCACCTGTGCTTGTCATTACCATGACTGTTCCATAGGTGGCAATAAAGGCAATGCTGGAGTTCTTCATAGCTTTGATTTTCAAAGAAACAAACCCACAGTAAAGACTCTACTATATATTGCTTATTGGAACTGTTTATATTGTTGTTTTCTTAGTATGATTTAATCTGACACTAAAAATGTAATTTTTTGCTTAACAAAATTTTGAGCTATTGAATTTATGTGTAGGACTTTGATATAACTGTATCCACTAATTCATGTATAATGTTGCCTTTGTCCATACAGCAGTGCTGAACTGTCCTTGTAAGTTGAATCCTGGGGATGAGCTCTTTGGTGGTAGCTCTCAACATCCCCTTGGGTTGTGTTTGTCCTCACTATTGTCTGAACACACACTGCCCAAGAATGGATAAAAATACTGCAACAACAATTTCCTCTAGTTCAGCTCCAGTCCACTGGAATGTAATCCTACTACTATATGTTTACCATATGACGGATATGTGCATAACCAACCATAGGGGGTCTTTACTCTTCAGTAATCTTTGTGCCACACTAAATCCAGCTAAATAGTCTTGGGTACCCTTAAATTTGCTATCTGGTTTTTACTATCGTTATATGAACTGCATGTTTTTCTATACCTGTTAGGGGTGTCCTTTATCAAAAATTTGGCAATATAATACGTATTACGATATGCCTGTCACAATTGTATCACACTATATCCCGATACTAAAACAATGGATGATATATTGTGATTTATCAATAATTATGTATAATATTATTATATATACCTTCACCAGATCAAAATTGGAAGAAATGCAACTAATTTAGTTTAAAATCACGAGAACAGTAAACAGAACTTACATTTCTTATCTTATATTTTGAATCCATACGAGAATTGTGAAGTATCGCGATATATCACTGACTTGATTTTATTCTTACACTCCTAGTACCTACAGTAATCCTTATCTAGAATGGCAAAACAGAACAACAGTCATAAATTCCTTTAAATACTATGTATTTGTAGAAAACTCTTGTTTTTATTGTTCAGCTGCAACTTTGTAGTGCTCCCCCAACAGGCATCAAAAGCTTTTTTTGGTACCAGTAGACGATACCCAGACCAAGGAGCAATGGATTTTGATCACTATGCAAATTATAAATAAAACATTCATGACAATCTTTTAATTGCTTGACTCCAGCCCTGGGTTTTTACTATGGAAACCAGATATTGCTTTGCAATAAAAACACACACATTGCAGCCAGTCAAAGCCAAACTTTCTGATCCTTTCCCACCTGCAGTGTTAGTTGTTGTGCAAGTCTGTTTATGTGGGGAGACCAGAGAGCTGGTGTCTAGTAATAGTGTGTGTGTATGTGTGTGTGTGTGTTTTGACACTTAAGTAAAGCTGGCCTAATCCTGTAAGGGCGGATGAGTAGACAAGACATGTGATGGCCCACTTGTTTCCTAGAGGGTGAGAGATAGGAGAGGGGGCATTATACTGACCAGCTGGAGAGGCTTTGGAGTGTGTGTCTATGTGGGCGTGGAGCTTATTAAGCATAATTAAAGGTGTTTTTTAAATTGGGTTGAATAAATGGAAAAATATTGTCAGAAATGTGTTGAAATTAATTGTCATCTTATTTTAATATGTTTGACCCACTACCTGTTACCGTTCTTCATCAAAATCAATTAGCAAAGACTTCCTGTCCTCTCCCTCACCCTCCTCCTCCAACAGATTACCTCCATTAGGCAAACGTACCGGCTGTGCACTGGAAAGATAACACAACTTCGTGTCTGGGGGCTAGCTTGTTGCCTGAATAGACGTCATATTTATTTTGTATTGAGTATAGGGCTGCTGTGTTGTGACTAGGATGAGCGCTGCTGGTAGTTCTAGACTGAGTCCTAGTCCAAACTTGCTGCAGGTCAATGCGCCCTACAAGCGCTATGGCTCCACACTGTCTTTGGAGGAGAAGTGTGAGCAGTCTTTTTTCCTCTTCTACTACTACAGGATGGAGGACGAGGCGGTGGTGGACAGAGGGGCGTCCCTACTCAAACACATGTGTGACGAAGAGGAAGTGGAAGGTAGGTCTTATGTGTCTATGTGTATTTAAATAGTCTTACACAGCATGTTTTGTTTTGAGCCCAACGATGATGACTACACCTTTTATAATACAGAAAATACTATTAGTCACAGGCTAAATAAGTCACTTGCAAGGACATCAACAATCATCAATCAACCAGTAATCATTTAAAGGGCCCCATTAAAGTCTTATATAGGGAGGTTTATGTTTACTCACTTCCTGCACACGTGCTGACGCTTAAAAAGCTGGCACGAGAGAGATGTAGAACATGCTGCTGATGATTCACTGCGCTAATCTGCTCAGACAACAGAGATGAACCTACTGTCCTCAGACATAAGTACTTACTCCTAAACTATGTCAGCTGCAAATTATAGATATGCTAACTTTTATTTACAGTCTAATGTTTCATTTTTGGTCTTCAGTCATCTATCAGCAGTGCCTTCAGAATAAAAAATAAAATACCAACTTCTGTTACTATGGGACATGCCTGGATAACTGGGAGATATAAATATTCTTCACTAATCTTACTGTAAAGGAGTTCCAGCTTCCCATCATTCTCATTTTCACGGTGATGTCACTTCCTAATTCTTGATTCTGCAGCTGAAATACCAAGTCCACTGTGTAAAATCTCAAGGCTGTCAAATAACAATAGATCTGCACCTACATAAATCAGTAGAGGTTAAATAGGAACACAGCAAATACTATGTTAAAACTCTAACAATAATATTTATGACTGTTTAGCATTGTTTAGGTTGGTTTTTAGACCCAAATTTTACTGTATGTACACTACTGTTGTCACACGTCTCTGTTGCTCAGTTTTAAATGACAGCATTCTGAACGTCAGTATGATTTAATACAGATGGGGGCAGCTAAAATTAATGTTGTTAAAATGCAAATTTTCCTGGTAATGCAGTGAGTTCTTGGGTCTAGCCAATTAGAGAAATTGGCAGGGTCATTTGTTACTTTACCTTTTAGATATTTCCTGCTATAAAATACAGTGTAATCAGGGGAAAATGGCTCTTTCAACCATCTGGGAGCATGACATCACATTCTCAAATTTGAAAAGTACCAATGTAATTTAAAAAAAAAGTGTTTGTTCAGCACTGAATAATAATGCTTTCTTTAATATTACCATCTATTTATACTAGTTCTGATATAGAGATAAAGAATCATTTAAGAAATATAATTTTTTTGTGTTTTTTTATTGTTCAAGGACCAAACCATATTTTTTACAACTCTACATGCACTGCGATTGACATTTTTCTTATGTACAATATAATCGTAGGAAGTATGTTTAAAATAATCTTTTTTTACCCCCAATAATAAACCTGACTTGCTTTTAATGAGCTCTAGGTCTTAATTATTAGACACCACATTTGGCTTTAGAAGTCCGCTGGGTGCTGTTTGGCCCTGTGCCATGCACTCTGTTGTGGGCCGGTCCCAGCGCAGCAGCAGTTACTGGGGAAACTGGCTTTAGCGCTGCGTCTCCTCAGAAATCTAGTGCTCCAACAAACCTCCCAGCAAACACAAAGATTTCATTTCATTCCTGTGCACTTTACTGCCAGCTTCAAAAGAATTTGGTAAAAAGAGGGGGAAGTTGTTTCACAAAGCTGCTTTGGCAGAGTACAAATCTTTCTCTGCTGCTTCTTGTCTTAGCTCTGTTTTATTTCAGGTTCTCCATCACCCTGCTTATTCTCTTCTCTCTTTTCTTGTGGTCGTGCAGACTGTACTATTCATCTATCAGGGCTCTACTGTCTCAGGCTTTTGTCTTCCTCCCAATATGCTGCTGCTGAGCCATCTGCTACAGGTGGCATTTGGTAATAACTTTGCTGGACAGTTTTAGATTACTCCAACCACTGGCTAACCCTTTAAAGTCATCGGCAGGGCTTGCCTGTCAGATTTTAATAGTAGTTGCTAGATCAAGCTAAATAAATTTAAAGAATGACAAATTGCTGAAATAAATAAAGATGATAAATGATAATATTGAAACTAATTTATACCACAATAACCCAAGAGCAGATTTAAACCACAAAAACTATTCAAAATGTACAATATTCTTAAAAAATGATAAACTACAATAAATGAATAACATAATGAACCACTTCAGTTCTTAGTTTGCATCTGTAATGAGGCATAGAAGTAATTAATTCAACCTTTTATGGCTCAAATCTTATCATATAGCCAAAAAATAACAACAAAAAAAGTCTAGCTGTGCAAAGAAAATGTATGCACGATAAATATTAACCCCAAAAATATATTGATGGCAAATGGTCACATTTTTCTATAGCACTTTTCCACCTTCCACTCAAAGCGCTTTACAACAAGGAACCACTCACCCATTCACACACACATTCACACACCAGTGTACGCAAACACTGTGGGCAATGTGGGTTAAGTGTCTTGCCCAAGGACACAACGGCAGCATTCATCTGTGGGAGCTGGAATCACACCAGCCAACCTGTGGGTCAGTGGATCTGACCGCTCAACCTGTGATGTTTTTGTCGAGAGCTGGAATCGAACCGCCAACCTTCAGATCAGTTGGCGAATGCTCTACCAACTGAGCTACTGCTGCCCCCAATATTGTTCCAGTTTTCATATACTGAATGTTAAATTGACATAACAATTATCGTGACCTAGACATCATAACATTCACTTAACTAAATGTATATAGAGGTAGCTAAAAATTATATTGTTAAAATGCAGTACGACAACAAATACAGGGTCAATATTTGTGAATTAACCTTATCGATATTTCTTATGAAAGTGCGATGTAATTAATAGGAAAAATTCTCTCTTGTCCCTGTCACGATAACATTTGAAGCATGATGTATTGCTATAGAGATATACTGTGATAAACTACTGAAACTACTTCATGCCATTGATACAATAACAATAATGTTAGATAATCCCAGTAGACTATTTTAAATTGTCTACTGAATTAAACTCAAAAGGCCTAAGATGCAAAAAATAAATAACAAAATGAACCAATATTTAGCCATAGAAGTAATTTATTCAACCCTCTACAGATTAAATCTTATTGTATTACAACAAAAATACCTCAAATCTATAACCTATAAATATTGAGCTCTAGAATATACTGTTCCAGCTATCATATATTGATCGACAGTAATGATCGTGACAGGCCTACTTTCCCCTCATCTGTAGTTTGTCCATTGTAGTATAAATGTCTAAGTATTGAATTGATATAAATAAAGTGCATCAGTATAATAAATTCATCTATTTAGCATTGTTTTGGGGAAGTAGAAATATTCGACACTTTGGCTGCATTGTTTTACATACTGCAGTATTTGTAATGTTTCTGCCCATTAGTGTCAGTGAATTTAGATGAACCCCCAAACTCAAAGCATTGTGTGCCTAAAGAAGAATGAATTCTGTTGTTTAATGGAGATCATTGTTTGTTGTTTCAAAGCCTTTGTCACTTCCTGAGTCCAATGCGGTGCCTTGGCTTGGCTCAGCATTACTCACCCTGCTTCACATGACAATACTAGACCCAATTGTTTCATATGGCGTTCTGCTCACCCGCCTATAGTATGTGCTGTCTACAAATACAATACATTCAGCAATTACAGTACATCTCAGCAAATTCTCCTGCAACATATGGTCCCAGAACATACATCCTGTTGGTATTTCGCCAGTCAACATTGTGGTGTACTTTTTGTACTTCCAAGTCTATGTAAAATTGCATGTTCTATAAGACAGCAGGGATTTAGCTCCCTTCACTGCTACATGTTACCTGTACTTCTTGACAAAATATTGATCATAACAGTGTACTGCAACCTTTATAAACCTGTGCAGCTGTACACGAAGGACAGATGTGAGAGTATGACTATCAAATGAATATAATGCTTCTGATGATTAATAGGAATAATTTTTTACTATGTTTATTTTGTCCTCTACTATTAGGTTTCTTTTTCTTTGATTTTAGTCTGTATAATATCTTGTACAATGAGGTAGCACCATTTGCGTAGTATTTTTAAATTTGAAATTGTGATTCTACCTACCACATGTACAAATATTTTTTCTTTCAGTGTTGAATTTGTATGAATATTATTATCTTGTTTGTGCCTCTGTGATATTGCAAAATACATATCACGTTAACAAGAAAATATGAACAAAGTTGACAAAAATTACACTGGTTGATGTTTGATTTATTGTTTTTTTTTTCAGGGCATCACACTGTTTATATTGGGGTGAGGGTTCCCAAAAGCTACCGAAGAAGGAGGCGCCACCGACGTAGAACTGGTCACAAGGACAGAAAGGAGAGAGTGTCCGAGAACGCTGATGAGAAGTCAGATACAGAAAACAACGAAGAGGCCAGTAATAGCATCCTCAAACCTCTCAGTAAGTTGTGATGGACCATGTCAACTCTCATCACTGCTCCTGTCTGTCCCTGACTCCACAAAAAGCTCTGCTGACCCCCCATGACCCCACAAGCAGTTGCTGAGTCCACTACATGACTAAAAATAGCTCTTAGAGATCTACAGACACTGCAGATTTAATTTGAGGAAAACTAGTGCTGTGCATAGTATTGTATCCAGTGGTGATGGTGTGAGTGCCTGTGCGCGAGGCTTTTGTCCTTGCTTGTTGGGCTGTGTGACTTTGTGCATGTGAATATTTGCTTGCAGAGGAGCTGTGCTTTGTGGTCTGTCCTGTAGTAATGACTAATGGGCCTTCAGGCACTGCAGTTGCACTCTGAAAACATGGGACACAACTCAAGACTAAAGATATTACGTAGGGACCAGGTTACTTAATGTGACTGTTAAGTAACAAGTAAGAGTTTTGAACCGATACGAAAGGTAAAAGTTAATGATTGGGCCAGGACATTTTCTTGGCATAAATGCACAGATACTCTAGACTAAATCATGAGGTCCATGATAAGATTTTAGTTTCTGTTGTATAGTACAATGACTATAGAATGGTGTGACAAATTGACAACACCTAGTCAAATTTTGGAGTGTATTAAATGCAGTGTATTTTATATTTAATTCTACATTGTGCAATTGCCTAATATTGCAGGAGGTTCAGTTTGTTTGTTTTTTCCCCTGAAACCGTGTTTTATGCGTAGAAGGATTTTCTTAAATCCAATCAGAGAATAGATTACAGTCGGCCCATCTGGCTTTCAACATTGATTGTGATGTTGCATATTACCGACACATTTACTAAAAGCACTGGTTCTGTGTGGAACATGCTTAATACATATACATAATAATCCATGTACATAAGTATACCTGGTATTTACTTTACAAGAATCACACAGCGAGAAATTGTATATGTAATACAGTTTTCAACCACAAGAAAGTCAAGCCAAATTAATTAAAATGTTCCCAAAACTATTTATTTTTACCAGAGTACAATTGGTTCAAAAGGTCAGTGTTCACAACCTTGAATGCTTGTGACTCTTTTTGAATGTGCAGACATTAAACACAGGATATACCTGTGTACTGCTGTCTCTGGGCTCAGTGTGATACTTTATTGTGAGGAACATGTGGGCCCTGGGGGAAAACACTTCTCTGTTGTCCAGACTGGACTGCTGTTGTTTGGTCAGATGTCCGCTGCAGGGATTCATACAGCTGTGAGGAATCCTGGGTGTCTGCTCACCATCTGACCTCTGAGCCTACTCAGAAACTTTTTATTACACATTTTACTTGTATTTATGTCGAAAATACAGAAAAATGTTGTCTTTGTGCCAACAATTTCCCCTCCACATTGGAGCCACACAAACATTTCATTGTTTAAGTACAGCAAAAGGCTACTGTATGAATTTCTTTCAAGTTTTTCTGCTCCATTGTTTTAGTACACATCAGCCACATTTCCTTTAACATCGAATGCAATATTGTACATATGAAATAGTCATGTCATAAATGCTCACCATTCCCGGCATGCAGCACACATGGGCCTGATCATTCCACGTTATTATGGCTTGCAGCAGGTATTTGTGAATGTTTGATCAGAGGAATAACGGTGTGTTTGGGCTGAGCTCTGAGAGAAGCCCAGAGGCTGTCACTCTGCATTCAGACCCTGTCCTCGTTACTCCCTCAGCACTGCTGCCCTGCATGCTCAATGTCAGACTATGTGGCATGGAAAACATTTCCTGTATTCACTGATCGTGTCTCTGCTTTGAATGAGAGATGCCATGTTATATTGTCATCATGTACAGGCACAGACAATGCATGTGCTATTAGATCCCCTGTAGCTCTTAACACAGTTGTAAAAAGGTCACCAGATAGAAGGTATGTGTGTGGGAGGCATGTTAGCAGTGGGACTAAACTCTCCTTTAGTAGCAGCCACACTGAGCTCTGGGCTGGACAGCGGGCATTCTTCCTCCTTCCCATATCCCATGAGCCCTTGCTGCCTGGACAAAGTGCTCTTTGTGCGCCCCTGGCTCTTGGCTAGAGCACACACAGCTTTGAAATTGCATTTGAACGATGGGTTTTTCATTTCTATCCCTTCTCTTCGTGCTTGCCTTCACCTTTCTTCATCTTCAGTGTGCACCTCTACCACCACCTTTTTAACAACTAAGTTAGCATACTGGCCTAGCAACAAGCATAGCAGATTACACATTGCATCAATATTCTTACTGGTTTTAGATACCATTTAGGTCTGAAGTTATGTTTTAGATACATTGAAAGTGCATTCTTTGTAATTTACACATACGCAAGTTTATATATTTATGACAAGTGTGTTTAATTTGTGTAATTGATGCAGTAGACAGCTAAATGTGCACAATGTACATGTAAATTATTTGTCCTAAGGTATTATTATACAGGTTGTGGTCAGAGAATATGGCAGCAGACAGTCTACTCTACCCAGTAATCTTCCAGCTCCATGTCTAAATCCTTACCTCCAGTCACTGAAGCCCCGCTTTTGCCCGCACAGTACACACTGTTTACTACAAATTTATTTTTACTACCTATAGTAACAGTCACTACATCACTGTAAATGCATCTTTTGTGTCTTTACAGTCATGTATGCATAATATTACATAATGATGGTCAAAAGACAGTGATGGCTAAAGCTTCACTAATAAGAGGCAGGGGCCTATGTCGGTGGCTTTGTGTTTGTGGAGAGCTTTTGGCTTGTGTGGGCCCGCTTTTGTGCAAGGGAGTTGTAGTGATCTCTCATTCTCAACTTCAATAGTGAGTGTCTCTGTGACAGTATCGACTGTTTGCAATATGTCTGAATACTCTTGGAAAGTATTTAAAAATGTGTGACCTATTCAAAGTTCTTTCTGCCTCTTTTTGTTGAGCACTCTAAATATTCAAATGGGATTACAAAGGAAGGAAAGCCAAGCTTCTGGGCATAGAATGGTCCATTTCCTAATTGTTAATCAGGACCTCCAGGGCGTTTTGCCAAGGCTGGAGGGCCAATGGTGGAGGCTTGTTTAAACATGGAGGGGGGTGCGATGTGGGGACACTGTCAGTGAGGGGACCCCAAACCCCATTGGCCCCCTCTTCAGAACTACTTCACCAAGTGCAGGCTACTGTGGGATCCTGTCACTTGTACCACACACTGTAATGAGGCTGTAGGCACTCCGTTACAGTCCACTACTACTTGACAATTATAAGAGGAACAGCTGACTGGGCAGTGGGATCTTTAAACATGTCCAACAACAACAATAACCTGGAGGAGAAGGAGAAAAGTGAAGAAGACCCAGAGCAGAAAGAAGAGGAGGTGATGGTAGATGTGCCACCTCCTCCTTATGCTCCTGAGGCCACAGAAGAGGCTCCACCAGAAGAGCAGCAGAAGGACTGTCAGCCCAACAGCCGCCACTACACACCTCTCACGGGGACTATTTTCTCTTTCTCCACAGTTTCTCCTGCAGCAGAGAGGGTCCGCTTCATTCTTGGGGAAGATGATGATGGCCCCGCTCCTCCTCAGCTCTTCACTGAGCTGGACGAGCTGCTGTCTGTGGATGGACAGGAGATGGAGTGGAAGGAGACCGCCAGGTAAGATCACTATCATGAGATCCAGCTCAGTGCATACGCATATATGCTTATTAAATATGTCTTATATTTGAATCATATAATTTCAAAACCCATTGTATAATTTTGAAGAGGCAAATTGTCATTAGTATGGAGCAAGTGAAGCTGTGTATTGAGAAAGTGGGGCTGACAGAAGAGAACTCAATTTCCTGCAGATAGAAAGTAGCCCATGCAGCACTGTGGTTAATAAAAATAAAACATAAACTTCAACTACAAAATATTACTCGAAAGCAACAGTCTGATCATTTTTACTGCTGTTGTTTTGCACTATCTAAGTTTTGTTGTATTTTATACAATGCTAATTAATCTAATCTCATCTAATCTAATCTAATTTTATCTAGGTATTGTCATGTTACTGGTTATAAGTTACATCTGTGACATGTTAGTGTCATATGAACCATCTCGCACTCTGAGGACCTCAGGGACCAGCCTCCTGTCTATTATGATTTTAATGTATTTCTTATTCTGTAAAGCACTTTGAATTACTTTGTATACGAATTGTGCTATACAAATAAACTTGCCTTGCCTTGCCTAGTGTTATGTATTTTTGTGTGTCTGTCTAGGTGGATAAAGTTTGAGGAGAAAGTAGAGAAAGGTGGTGAGCGCTGGAGCAAGCCCCATGTGGCCACACTGTCCTTACACAGCCTGTTTGAACTGCGCACTTGTATAGAGAAGGGGACCATAATGCTGGACATGGAAGCTTCCACCCTGCCTCAGGTTGTTGGTAAGTCAGTCGTCAACCCCAGACTGTAAAACAAATTTAATATGTTGATATCAGTTTGATTTTTATTGGTCCAATTAAAGTCAAAGTTGTTTACTGCTACAAAAGGTCAAAGTGTGAATAAACCTTTCATTGAATATTCAAACCAAGATTAAATTGTCCAATATCCAAAATATACATATATTTTGGCCTGTGCATGCCACTACATTTGTTTTAGTTTTTTTACCTCATGCAATGCAACCAGCGTGAGCCCACAACCTCCCCTGGAGATTTATGTGGCATAATTGAGTATGCAGCCTGTCTCACACAGGCTTTGCTAGGCTGGGGCCCCTGTTTAATGCCAGGCAACATGACTGTGTGAGGCCATTAGCAGCACTAGCTCCACACAAAAGCAGAATTGCCTTAAGCTGATATCTTACTGCATTCACGCTTCTGACCTTCTTTTTAAAAATAGGCTAAACCTTTTGATTGAGTCGTTTGCCATGCCACACTGCTCTTATTATGGCATAATAGTTTGGGATCCCCCATCTGTGCTTTTACTGGACTATGGTGATTCTTCATTCAGTGACTTGACAGCTGCTAAGACGGCTAAGATGAATACATTTTAAAATGGACCAAAACAGAAGCAAAATAAGACATGTGCCCACAAGCATTGCTACTGTTTAAGTTTATGCAGCTGCTGCTAGACTATTATGAGTAAAACAGTTAATCTCTATTCTGGAATATTATTTCTGCAAGTCTAATACACAGAGATATTTACAATTATATTACGTAATGAACAAGTGTGAAGTGAGAAATAGTTGCTGAAGCTATACAAGCAAAAACACTGATATTTTGGCAACTTCTGAACTGGCAATATTTTAGTACTATGGTTTATAATACAGAACTCATTCTGTGCTGTAAATTAGGGTATTTGGTCTGGGGCAGTTTAAAGGCTTCATTAAAAATAGGATGTCAGTGCTAAGAGGGTAACTATGGAGGGGGCACCACAGTCTCCTCTGTTATTGGGAAACACTGAAACAATACTGTGCAATTTTATATATAATGTATTAAACTAATGCATGGCTTTATTTCCTATTGCAGAATTGATCACTGACAACCAAATTGAAAATAGCCAACTAAAAGCAGATCTGAAGGACAAGGTGATGTACACGTTGCTACGGAAACATCGTCATCAGACCAAGAAGTCTAACCTGCGCTCGCTGGCTGACATCGGCAAAACGGTCTCCAGTGCAAGTAGGCTGTTTACCAACCAAGAAGCCGGTAATACTGATGCCAGTTTGGTGCAGTCTTTACTTTGACAGCATTTTTTAAAAAAGCAATATTGACCCAAAATTGAAAAAATACAGCAACAACATACAAACCAACTAATACTAACGCAATCTTACATCCATTTCACAAATATATTTGAATATAGTTTCCTATAACCCTATAACCTTTTCTATAGTTTACGTTCATATGACATTATAACATTCTAAAATTGAGGTGAAGGACAGGTCAGAATTCTATGGTTGCAGATTTGTTGACCTGGTTTATGATTAATATATTTGTAATTATTGGGAATATCCACACAAAAGAAAAACTCAACATCTTCTCTGTCAGCATAAACAGGTTCAGAAAGTAGTGCCATTATACATCCCCAAAGATGTGACTGTAAAGCATTTTTGAGTGTCCAAAAAAATCACTGTACAAGTCTGATGTATTATTATCATTAATAGTTAGCGTGACTTTAAGCAATAGAATTATGGCAATGGATAATTGTAAGTTTATGGATCCAATCTCTAACAAATAATGATAAGGTTCAATATTTGTAATCGTAGCTTGTTTTGATCTTTGATATTTCTTACAAAAACATTGAATCCCCCATAGAATTACACAGGCCCATGTCCTCCACCTGACATTGTGACAATATCAAATCCTAGAAAATGAATGAGATCTGTTTGGTTATAGGGTTGTGACAAAACACTGACTGATAATGCTATCAAAATCTCTGTTGATCAAAGAAAATAAAGCAATAAAAATGTGTATTTGATATAATCAAAATTACACATTAACCTCCTGCATGCTATTGAACAATAAGTGCTCTGTTCTTTACGCAACTGTTTTAATGATCAACCATGTCAATGTCAACCATGAGTCATTGGAAAATTGATAGTATTATTGTGCGTGTGTTAATTCCTGAACCACATAGCAGTTGTCTATGTAGTCACATTTTTTCTCAAGGCAATCTCAGAAATCTCCATGCACTTCTCTGTTGTAAAATTTAGCAGCATCAAGTAACTTTGACCTTTGACTTATGGTTTTTCAATGTTTACATGCTTATCTTGTGTTGCTCTCTTCTAATCAGTTAATGAAGACTTCACACTTTCACTCTGTGCTTTGTGATGGCTAATTTTTTCTTTTCCTAACGATCACTTTCTCTGTCCGCTTTTCTGTTTTCCTTTTTATCCTATCCTTTGCTTACTTGGATTGCTTCTGGCACCACTTAAAGCACGCAGTCCTCTTGACACCTCTATGACTTGCTTATCCAGTCGAATGTCTATGGAAGATTTGAACACCCAAAGGAGTTCTAGCATGGACTGGCTTAGTAAGTTAAAGGCTCATGTGTAGTATTCTCAACATCTTCTCATTGTTATGAACTAAGCTAATTAAACTGCATCAACTAAATCAATATCCAGATATGTTACTCGTAAAGGAAACTGCATCATACTGGCAAACATGTTATTACTCATAATGCTCAGGGGTCAGCGGCTTTGAAAATCTGCAGTGGCATCAGCATTACCTGTGTAAAGAATTGTCAGATGTGTGAAAGCTACAGGACTGAGGTGAAGTCCCGGTCGGTAGTCATGTCAACAGAGGAGTTGTCAGCTGCATCCTCTGAGTGCCCTGCTCACCTCCACCATGTACTCATTTATGAAGCGGTTCACTATAACAACAGTCACTCATGGCAGAAATAACACATTATAGCATAAACTTAGGGCTCAATGTACTTCAGTGAGCTAACAAGGTGCTTACAAAAGAGTTAGGACTTTCTTTTAAAGTAGTCTAGTTAAATTGACTTTTATTAGCTCTTAACCATGCTGGCAATGTTTTTTTTACTGAGTTGTTTGAGTGAGCGTGTTTGAGTAGGCCTGTGTTGTCTTCCAACCAAGTTTTGGGTGCTCAGAAAATGACAATTCTCACCTATCTCTGCCCCTCTGCAAGTATTCAAACTCAGTCATATGTCACTTACAGGTATTTTTAATAATACAAATACAGATAAAAAATGCTATAATGCTCTTTATTGCTTGCTATAATGAAATGTCCTATGAAAAGACATGATATACCAGATGTATTTTTGAATAGAAAATCAATTATGGACTTTTTCTACTATTTTGCAGTTATAGGTCAGTAAGGAACATAAAAAGTAATGATATAGTTTGATGCTAAATACCTTAAGTTTAATCTTCATTCTCTTAATTGTGAATGGGCACTGACTCAATACACATGAGGTACTGATATGATGGAAAAATCCCATTTACATACCCAAACATTCAAATACAAAATATGAAGAGAAGAACATTTAGAGATAGAATGCTCACAATGTCGTGTTTAAGTTGCACTTTTATATGACAACAAAAAAGAAGCACAGCAAATACTTTGTAAACAGACAGATTTGCTGTTGTCTATATACATAACAAATTAAACTCTTACACTTCTGAACAGTAAGTTGATAGAAGATGAATTATCATTTTGGTTGTTCTTTGGTGTTTTGTGATGAGTCCTTGGTGTTGCATGTGGAATAACTTGTCTTTCTCTGGGTCCCTGGGCAGTATTTTTGATATTAATATATTTATAATACATTTTTTTTTTTTTCAGGTTATAACTGTCTTTTTGTTATTTGAACAGATAGCCCCACCACAACACACCGGAACCTAACGTCCAGTAGCCTCAATGACATTTCAGACAAGCCAGAAAAGGACCAGGTCAGTCTCTGTTACACGGCACAACCTAGAGTTATAAAAGTATAATTTTTTAATAAAAACATATGAATCTTGGTTGAAGCCATTATTCATAAATGTAGCATTTCCACTTGACAACCACCATGTTTCATACCTTCATAGTTAAGGTCAAGGTATATTTTGAATGCTAAGGAGAAAGTGTTACTCTGTCAATTATTGCTGTGCGGGTGTCTTTCCTGATGTACCAAAGGTCACCCAGGCCTTGTCTCACTCCACTAACCTTTTGAGCAGTCTAAGGCTCACTGCACACATAACATTGTCGTAATGGTGCTGTCATTGTGTTGGTCGCCTGCTCTAATGGCTCATGTAATCTGTACAGTTTGTCTAGCATCTGACAAAATCACAGGATATTTGTTATCATTTAAAATACCCCAAAAAATCTCACCAATTTTCATCTGTATGTGGAATAATTGAAGAAATTAAGTTAAAAGAAATCCTCTAAAAACACCCCTTCTGGTGTTTCCAATACTACTACACAATTTGCCGTAAACCATACGATATACTGTATATTTATGTAGGTATTACCATTACTGCCTTTATCTATAAGTTCTGAATAATTAAGCATTTTGAGAATAGAAAGATACCTACAGAGACAATAAAGTGTTCCTTAGATGCTTTATTAAAACCCTAGATGACATTATAGGCTCTGCTACAGACCCATTGTAACATCAGTGCGCAAAGATACAAGTGCTGGGCAGTGGTATGTTAGTATGTATATATATATTTTTTTTGGAGACTATAACTGAATGCCAAAGGGATGTTTCCTTGGAAGTATTAGTCAGTAGTCCAAAAAAATCCTCAATTCATTCAGTATATAAACTCTTGGCATTTCCTTCTGGGACTCAAAAACTGGATCAGAGTTACCTCTTGAATTTTATTAGGGACACTGGACTAAGACAAATACAGCAGACAGGCCCCCCTTCTATTCATATGGTCTGATCTCTATCTATGTTACTTAATTTCTTGCAGCATTTTGTACTAACACATAGGCATATGACTTAGAAAAAAATCATAACCACCGAAAACACCTCTTATTTGATATCTTTGCATAATTTTCAACTGAAAAATATTTATTTAATTGAATTACGTTTTTGTACTTTTTATGTAAGTGCAAATTGTAGTGACACAGAGACAGTGATGTGTGGATTACCATGGTGCAGAGCCCGCAATGTGTTGTTGGACAAGTTAACCTCAAACTCAATCATTTACGTACAGACCCTTGGCCACCAGACTCAACAGCCTTTGATTGGATCTGCTTGGACAGAGCCAGAAGGGGTCAAAGTTCATAGGATTTCCGAGCTTTGAGGGAATACTGACTGTGCATTATAGAAGCAGTACTAATCTTTCATTTTCATATATCGTGACAGTGACCAAATATTAAAGCTTTCCTCTATGGTTAATCTATAAACCCATTATGTATAGTAAACCAGGAAGTACTATAGTAAAACAAGTCAAGTGTTACCTTACCTGACATAGACAGGTTTACCACTTAATAGTTGTTGAAAATGGGTGGCCAATATACTGGTATATTGGGCACGAGTATTTTTTCTAAACTACCCCAGTCTCTGTGTTCCAAATTTGTCCTCAGTGCATCATGTTTGTCTTTTTGAAGTTGTAGTAAAATGCTCAGATCAACCCTAAAGCTGCAAAAAGCCTAGCATCATTTCACACTCTTTCACTTTCACTTTTGTCTTCGAACCACTTTTAATTTTAACTTCTGTTGTCATGATACTATGTCTGTTCAATTTCAATACTATGGAAAAGGTCTGATACTTAATACCAAGTTCAGTTCCACAAAAATGATAATTATAAACACTGCCTTTTTTTCAACACAAAATAATAGTTTCTTGAATATATGATCTTGTAGTTCTAATACAGATCAAGCCCATTAAAAAACTACTCAGTAAAGGTCTATAGTCCTATCCTATACTTGTTGAAATCAGTATGGAGTTTGGTATATGTGATGGTTTTGTATTTGAAATGTCCTGAATAAAAATCAACTTATCATTTCTGTTTTTGTCACCTTACACGTGTGAACACTGAATGGCCCTTTTCACCCTCTTTTTTTATTCCAGTTGAAAAACAAGTTCATGAAGAAGTTGCCCAGAGACGCGGAGGCCTCTAATGTGCTCGTGGGTGAAGTGGATTTTCTTGATGCCCCTTTTGTGGCATTTGTCCGTTTGCAGCAAGCTGTAATGCTGGGAGCGCTGACCGAGGTGCCTGTCCCCACAAGGTAAAGTCATGCCTGCTTCATTACATTGTAACAGGGAAAATGGAGAGTCTGTGTTTGTATACAGAATCTCACAGACCATTCAGTTTTGATTTAGAATTTCTAATTACTGGAACTTTTCACAAACAGATTTTTATTCATCTTACTTGGACCAAAGGGAAAAGCCAAGTCATATCATGAAATTGGCAGAGCCATCGCCACTCTGATGTCTGATGAGGTAAGTGTGGCATTACCTCTGCCTTTCACCTTTGTTCCCCTTTATTCACCTTGGGATCTGTCTGTTCACCTGACTGCTTGCTTTGGAGGACCATTTTCACAGATGAATGCCTCTACATCTTGTGTTTGTGTTCAGATCTTCCATGACATTGCATATAAGGCCAAGGACAGGCAGGATCTGCTGGCTGGTATTGATGAGTTCTTAGATGAAGTCATTGTGCTTCCTCCTGGAGAGTGGGACCCTGCCATTCGGATAGAGCCTCCGAAGAGTCTCCCCTCTTCGGACAAAAGGTCAGACAGTTAACTTATTCACTTTGAGACTTTGAATTGAGTTGCGACTGAGGAGTGAGTGGTTTGAGCGTTATCTTAAGGCTAGCTATACAAATTCCTTAGTCTTTTTTTTTTTTTTTTTTTTTTAACTGCTAATTGGCCTTGGGCAAGATCCACTGTTATGTGAGATTGAATGTTAGTGTTCAGTGAGGCTGTTGGCATGGGTAGGCAGCCATGTTGTCCCAGGGCAGCTGTGACTAGTTTACAACCACTAAGTGTGTGTTTTTATAAAGCAAAGTATAGTAAATCCAAGCCATTATTAAACACACAAGTGTTTACTGATTCAAAAAGACCCTCAGCTGTAAATCAGTATGTAGGTTGTATATTAAACTCAAGGAACATGTTTAGCACCTCTACAAGGGTAAAAGGTTAAGGCTAACAGAGATAGCTTAACTAAACAAACAAAAGTCTAAGCCATAGAATAGAATGTTTTAGTCTGTTTTTATAATAAACAATTATTTAACTGGACACTAGAGCGGGCAAATAGTATGCATGTTATTAGTAATGAATTAATTCCCTCATTCATTGATAATAATTTGAGGGTTACTTTTAGTTTTATTTTAAATGTGTACTTTATGTGTACTCCATCCTCTGGCAGCAGTAAGTGCAAGACTATTAAACATGCATCAGTACTTGGTCAGACTGCTGTGTCTGCAGAACATAGGTCATTTTAAGCACGACAGAGTTTCTTCACGTGTATGTAACAGCTCTTTGCAGAAAACCTATTCCCATGTCAGCTCCTGGATATATCTCATAATTATAAAATGACAGTTATAAAATTAGAGCAGTTTTTGTTTCTTCTTAAAATCATTTTTGAAGGGTTGGGATTATCAATATGTTTTCTGTTCTGTAGAAAAAACATGTATGCAGGCGGTGCAGGAGGAGGAGGAGGAGGAGGTCCACAGATGAATGGAGATATGCCTCATGATGGTGGTCATGGTGGAGGGGGACACGCAGTAGGTGATGAGCTGAAAAAGACAGGAAGGTGGGGAGCAACGAGAATGATATAAATGCATACTGTATGTCAGGTGATCAAAAGAAGACTGAATCTGTGTGTTTGCAGGTTTTGTGGAGGCCTCATTCTTGATATCAAAAGAAAAGCGCCTTTCTTTGTCAGTGACTTCACCGACGGTTTGAACATTCAAGCCTTGTCAACCATTTTGTTCATTTATTTGGGAACTGTAACAAATGCTATCACATTTGGGGGTCTCCTTGGGGACGCTACAAACAACATGCAGGTATAACTCAAATCTGAAACTGTAAATTTCACTCTGACTATACTCCTGACTAAAAGTGTTTTTTACAGGGAGTCCTAGAGAGCTTTCTGGGCACAGCAATTGCTGGTGGAGTCTTCTGTTTGTTGGCCGGACAACCTCTTACTATTCTGAGCAGCACCGGGCCTGTTCTAGTGTTTGAACGGCTCCTCTACAAGTTCAGCCAGTAGGAGCAAGCACAAACTGTTCACACTGCACAAAAGGGCCTTTTGGCAACAGGGAGATGGCCTCAAAGCTAGCTCTATAACCCACACAAAACAACTAAATTCATGGAAAATTCTACTGCATGCCAAATTTATGTCACAACAAGAATTTAAAACTGAAAAGCCAAAGAAGAAGAATATTATTACTACATATAAATAAAATAAAGCAGTAAATCTCTTTTGATAGTAACCCTTATTTTCTGTTCCTTAGAGATAACGCCTTTGACTACCTGGAGTTCAGACTGTGGATTGGCCTATGGTCTGCGTTCTTCTGTTTTGTACTTGTGGCTACAGATGCCAGCTTCTTGGTGCAGTATTTCACCCGCTTCACAGAGGAGGGCTTTGCCAGTCTCATCAGCTTCATTTTCATTTATGATGCCTTCAAGAAAATGATCAAGCTGTCCCACCACTACCCAATCAATTCTGACTACAAACTGGAGTATGTCACGCACTATGACTGTGCATGCATGGCTCCTATTGTATTAGGTAATTCATTATGGTTTCAAAATGATTAATATGAATTTTATATGTTATTTATTCATTTTATTATTTGAATAGAAAACAGCACCAGCGCACAGCTTGATTCTGATTCTTTGGATAGTTCTTCTATGTGGATCCTGAATGGAACAGAACTGGTGAGTTTTGTTATGTCCAAATCCCATTAAAGTTTTTGTCCAACTAAGACCCACTTGATGTTGAGTGTGATTTTTCTGCGCAGCCAATAAACAGCACATGGTCGACCCTGACAAGAAGTGAGTGTCTGAAGTACAAGGGTGAGCTGGTGGGAGAATCGTGCAAGTTTGTCCCCGACATCGCCCTCATGTCCTTTATCCTGTTCTTTGGGACCTACACTTGCTCCATGTGTCTGAAGAAGTTTAAGACCAGTCCGTTCTTCCCCACTACTGTGAGTCTGTTGTGCTGCAATACGCTTACTATAACTCTGAGGACCCCAGGGCCCAGTCTCCTGGTGATGCCCAAAGCAGGACTAAACATGGGAAATCAGTGTTTCAGTTTTATGCCGCTAAAACATGGGTGCTGCACATATGAGACAGGACTCTGCTGTGACTATATGTTTAAATCCAGGCTCAAAACGGTTGTGTTTAGCTGTGCATATGACTGAAAGGTTTTTATTCAATAAGCTTCTCTCTTCTCTTTTAATGTTTATTTTATGATGATTGTTTATGTTTTGATCTGTTTCTATTGTGATTGTAATGTCTTGCTTATTCTGTAAAGCACTTTGAATTACTTTGTGTACGAATTGTGCTATACAAATAAACTTGCCTTTGACTATAATGCAGTGTGACACATGTTTTTCTGTTTCAGGTGAGGAAGCTGATCAGTGACTTTGCCATCATCCTGGCCATCCTTATCTTCTGTGGAGTAGATATGCTGGTTGGAGTGGAGACTCCTAAACTCATTGTGCCAAGTGAATTTAAGGTCAGTATTGTGAAACATAAATGTAGAGTTTAAGTGTGAAGAAATATCGCAAGTAAATGTTGTGTTTCAGCCAACCAACCCAACTCGAGGCTGGTTTGTGCCCGTGTTTGGAGGAAATCCATGGTGGGTTTACCTGGCCTCTGCTCTGCCTGCACTACTGGTTACCATCCTAATCTTCATGGACCAACAAATCACTGCAGTTATTGTCAACAGGAAGGAGCACAAGCTGAAGGTCAGACACACAACACTGCTGCACTAGACTTATTAGTTACTATTATAGAATTACAAACAGACATTACAGTCCATAACAGTGAGATGTCTGTACATTACATGCAGCACACTTGTACAGGATACAGGTTACCCTCACACTGCAGTTAAATATGCTTGTCATTCTTCTCATGTGAGTGAGAGATGTTTCACAGACGTGACTGCATGGACAGTTAGAAGTGAGAACTCAAACTATTCAACCAGAAACTGTTGTTGCTGTAATTTGTACTTGTGAGTCCAAAAGATTACATTAGATATATACTTAACGATATATTAAATATGTTTCATCCGTTTGTTGTGTAGCATTTACGGGTAATGAAGAAATCAAATAAGCTATGACTGAACAAATTCCCACATATTTATTTTTACATTTTTGCATTCTACTTTATTGTTTTAAGGACGTTAACAAGTATGCAGTTTTTATATAAAAACATTTTTCTGCTGTGCACATGTGAGCCGGCATGATCTCTGACCTATAGAGTGTTTGTTGTGGCAGAAAGGGGCGGGGTACCATCTGGACTTGTTCTGGGTGGCTGTTCTCATGGCGCTGTGCTCCTTCATGGGGCTGCCCTGGTATGTGGCCGCTACAGTGATTTCCATCGCTCACATTGACAGTCTAAAGATGGAAACAGAGACCTCTGCTCCCGGAGAACAGCCCAAGTTCCTGGGTGTCAGGTAAAACTCTTTAACAGTTATGTATTTAAATGAGTACTACACAGAAAATGACTTCAGCGAACTGTAGCAGATTTATGTCTGTGAAAGGATTACAACAGCAGCCACAATTACTGTGCTGATCTCTTAATCCTTATTATTTTATTACCCTGCCTGTTATTATATGTTATTGAAGATTTAGTTTTGCTGCTAAGCAGCCTTGACTACAGTTAAGCCCAAAGTTAATCATACCCCACTACTGCCCCTAGACCAGCTTTGAATAGAGAATTTGTAATTATTATCTTAATTGTTGCCTTTGAAGAAACCTTAAGATCATCTTGGTGCCTAGCTGAACTAAAGCAGCTCTTCACTTTATCCATTTAATGAACATGAGTTTAATATGTGATATATTTCTATTGCACAGAGAGCAGCGGGTCACTGGAGTAGTGGTGTTCATCCTGACAGGGCTGTCTGTTTTTATGTCTCCTATTCTCAAGGTATGGTTTCATTAATGATGACTTGTCCATCTGGTACAATTTTATGATGAGTACGCCTTAATTAGCCCTAATAAAGTGCTTAATAATAATAAACTACTAAATTAAGGGGTTGGGTTATTTGTTAAGTATCAATCAATCAATCAATCTTGCAATAAGATAAACTTTATTGAGCCACAAGGGGATACTGTATTTGTTTTGTGTATGAAGTTTAAGGTTAGGTTTTTGTTATGGTACACTTTATTGGTTAGGTTATGGTTATGGTTATGGTTATGGCACACTTTATTGTCCCAGCAGAGAAATTTGCCCTTTGCATTTGACCCTTTTTTCAATACCTCTGGACTATCTCTTCTGGAGCAGTGGGTGCACAGTACCACACCCAGGAATCTCCACGATCTTGTTGCTAGTCTTGGTCAGGACTACCGTAGCTGGTGCATAGACATCTTAACTTTAAGTTAAGAGTTAATTCTTTGTTCATGTTTTATTAAGGCTATTAAAAGTGTAGTTATTATAAAATATCTCCTGATTTTCATCCATTATGCCCAGTATTACAATGATCCCTCCTTTTGACCAGTTCATCCCCATGCCTGTATTGTATGGAGTCTTCCTGTACATGGGAGTTGCTTCACTAAATGGAGTTCAGGTAAATTTTTCATCATATTTACTGACAACACCACTGATTACTATATAATATATACTATAATATACTAGTATATATTATAATATTTTAACTCTGCACAGTTTATGGACCGTCTGAAATTGCTTCTGATGCCAGCGAAGCATCAGCCAGACTTGGTCTACCTGCGCCATGTTCCCCTGCGCAAAGTGCACCTGTTCACCTTCATCCAAGTGCTGTGTCTGGCCCTGCTCTGGATCCTCAAGTCCACTGTGGCAGCCATTGTGTTCCCTGTAATGGTAAGTCATATTTTCTGCATATTTGATACATATTTTTACCATGAAAGGCTCATAGAAAATAATCTGGAACTGAATATTGCCCAATGATGGAATTGCTTTTGTATTTTGACTGCAATTTAGGAATCTATTAATAACCCTAAACTTTACTTCCAAAAATGGGGACATACTTTGCCCAAAAAATGCTCTACATTTCTTTTGTTCTTTAGATTCTGGCCTTGGTGGCAGTCAGGAAGGGTATGGATTACATGTTTTCTCAACATGATCTCAGCTTCCTGGATGATGTCATTCCAGAGAAGGACAAGAAGAAGAAGGAGGATGAGAAAAAAAAGCGAGGCAGTATAGACAGTGAAGCTGAAGATGTAAGTGAGAAAACTACATGTATGGTGTGACATAAAGCATGTTTTCAGCAGATGGAAGGTCCATGTATTGGAAAATAAGCATTAGACATTACATGTTGTTCTCTTTGTGACAGTCTGACTACCCTTACAATGAGAATGTCCCCAGCATTAAAATCCCTATGGACTTAATGGAGCAGGAGCCCTTCTTAGGTGATAAGGCCTCTGACAGTGAGTAGAGATGAACTCCAGAGGAACTGCTACTAACTCACTTTGTCTTCTGAGTTTCTCAGCTCCACGTTTCTCTTGCTTTCTTGATCTCCAGTTGTTATCTAATGATTTCTTATTGTGTTTAATGCTTCTTGATTTTCACAAAACAAACTCACCTTTTCTTATTTTTCATTTTGTTTGAGAGTGCATGTTTTAGGGCTCTACAGAGCAAATCAAAATTGCAATTTGAGTTGGCTCAATCATCAAATTGTAAAACCTGCAGTCATTTAGATAATAGACTTTCCACTGCAAACAATAAAATATTCTGCCTTTTATAGAATAATATTTGAAGTTTATCTCTACAAACATTAATGCATTGTATTCTTGTTTATGTTAATCAGTTTACAATGTGCACTCTAAACAGAATCCTATGCTTTTTAAACAGCTCAAATCAAATTATTTTATTTTATATATTATTTTTTTGTGGTGCAACTTTATCATGCTTCTTGTAGACCATCAACGAGTGCCATAGAACCTATTTACTTGCATTGTCCAAACTAATGTAGGTTTTATTAACAGGAGATAAGTCCCCGGCATTCCTTGAACACCAAACGTCATGCTGAGCGCATGGACTACTACCAGGCTGACTACACGTCAAGGTCAGTGGGGTCACACAGTCTTGACCTGTAATATTTTCTATTATATGAAATATTTGAATGAATATGATGAGTTATGAACAAAGTATCAGTGTTTTTTCTTTGGTAGCATTCATAACCCACAACACACTTTGTCGTATTGTCCACAAAAACGGAAGAATCAAGAATTACTCAACACTTTGTGTTTAAATAACTTGCACACAAATGTTTGTCTTGGCAACAATTCCCGCGATTGCAATAAAATCCCATATCTCATAAAATGGTCAATAAACATTAGATCGGTGATTATACAGCCGGAGCAGAGATAACATGTCTTATGCCATGGACCTCTGCTGAGGACCAGAATCTACAGGTCATGTGTAGAGAGTCACATGTTGTCCGTGCATCCCCCATCTGGCCTGCACTTGTGGGAACAGCGCTGACGAAAGTATCATTCGGAGCGGATTAGCTTTTGGGACAATGCGCGAAAAGCAGCTGTGATCACAGGACATCTGTGATGTTTACAAACAACATGCATGATATGTACTAATTGAACCTTGGCTTTTTGTCAAAATAAACCAGATTTTATCCATACAACAGTGTACAACTATCACAAACATATAGATTGTAGTTAGCATTTCTGGCCGAGAAAATGTCATTGTGAAATAATATTATCTCATGTAATTTGGCACATGTCTCTCAGAGCAGAGACTGCATGATGACGCATGCCGTGATACTGATGACATGCTTCTTCCTCTGCTCTACACTAATCCTGTCGAGCTAAGACTGTTGGCAATTGCTTTGTGCTCAAATGACCCAGGCCATCTCCACAGAATACACAGATCCAAGTATGCTGACTACTTTTACATGCACGTTTGGGTTGTGACTTATCCATACCAACCTCCTTTAGAAAGAATATAAAAATAATATGGAGAAATCCTAATGTAATTTTCTTTGTGTTTCAGCCCCGACATGAGTCCTCTGAAGTCTGTGCCTCAGATTAGAATAGACATGGATCCAGATGATGACTACGATGAAGACAACACGTTCTACTGGAGGGGCCGAGGGTCTGAAACATCTCTGTAGACAAGTGTCAATACTGGTTCATCTGTGCCACAGCAAAGATCTCATTCTGACTTTATCATTAGCCAAGCTTCTCTCGCATGATTTTAGGACCTATGTACTGCGAGAAAAATGAGGACTACTCTAACTATAGAACAAATGTATATTTTCTATTAATGCAGATACTCACTTCTGTCTTGGCACCGCTCTGCCTCTTGCCTCTCACTCTGAATAATTACTGTTCGTCTATGCAAGTCCTGCAACATGTTGCCAATCAACAGGAAATGCTGCACCTCTGGATGTACATGGACATTTCTCCCTATACTTTGGCAGAAATATTGAAAAAATGAGCCTCGAGTTCAGTTACGCTAATCTCATTTTCCTGTAGCAGGGAAATGCTGTTTTTATAGCTCTACCTCTTGTTTTAGAAGGAATTATCACTATGAACAATTGTGTCATTTTGATTTTAATACAGCATGGGCTTTGATACGTTCTGTCTTCTTGTAGAGTTGTTGAACATATGAGATTTCTCTATTGTAGTTCCAAGGATGTGTAGCTATTTTGAGTAAATTAACAGTATATTAACACTGCATATGTTGTATGTGCAGACAAGCTTAATATGATGATTTTTGATTGCATCACTTTCTAATTGAAAATTATTCTGTCACATGACCTCCTAAAGGCTTTTGTTACTGTTTTAAAAATAAATCAAAACATTCTCTATCTTTTTAAATGAATGTGCGTTATTTATTTTCAAACCTACTTGTGGCCATTAGTGATGAAAAATCACTTATTTTGACATCAGTTTTGTTCTTACAGTACACTGCCCCCTGCTGTTAAAATAACGATTCTACAAACTGTAAGATTACTTTTATTTTAATCGCTCTCATGGCTTCTGCGAAAATTTTACATTGACCAGGAGGAACAATAAAGTATTATCGGGGGGAGGGTATTAATAGCTTTGGACAAGGAAGATGAAATAAAATGATAGGTCTAGTTCACTTTAAAAAAATAAATAAATAAAATCGAATACTTAATAATTGCTTCCCCTAAAACAAAACTTCCACTTTAATACAGAACATATTTTTTTTTTATATTTGAATCAAACTGCAGAATCCACCAACGCCCAAACAGTGCAGGGATAATATGTTGTTTTGACATGATTAATAGGACTTTATTGGTGGAATTCATTCACTGTAATTGCATGTTCATTGTTAAGTATTAACTACAACCTTATCCAAAAGGATGGTTTCTTTGGATTTTTGATAATTGTTCTGACATTTAGCCTACTGGTAGTTTCCACTCCTTTAAAGACAGTAGACTAAATTTAGAGCAGTGGTAGGCCAGTCTACAGACGACATGTCATTTGCCTCACGGCCTGAGGCCAAACATACTATAGGTTAAAATGTGAAGTCTAAGCATACGACTGTGGGATGTTCCAAAAGTGGCAATATGCACAATCACCACTAGATGGTACTAAGCTTTATCAAAACACATCAATTGTAGGCCTAACTGTAGACTCTTGTGGCTAATGTTGCAGACAACATTGTATGTCACATGCAGCTGTGTGTTCCAAGGATGCTCCGCTGTCCATTTAATTACCTCAGATAATGAATTCATCTTCTCAGGCTCTCACCCAGAAAATTGTCTGTTAACTGTCCAATAACGGCACGTGTCATCTGGAACAGGCAGCTCTTCCACTGCCTTCAATCCCTGACAGGCATACAATTTTATTTTGTGAATTTTGCCCAAAGACATTTTTGTGAGGGTTTAAAATAGCATTTTATATCAGATAAATAACTATTAACTTTCTAAATGGTGGTTTCCATGCTAAAATAAGAAGTGCATTCATCCTCTTAGACACATTTTTTCTCTGGTATATGTCATGTTTGGGCAAACTGTACTTTTTCCCCATTCTAAGAAATGTAGTAATTGTAGCCATGACCCATAGCCTTTGTATGGAATAAAGACTTAATATAGGAGCAGAAGGACAATCCTTTCACTATCCCATATAGAATATAGTTTTAATAGATCCCTGGGCTGTATAGATATAGCCTGTATTAGGCCTTTTTTAATCCACATGATTTCTCTTTCACACTGGAAACCCATGACAATGACAAGATGATGCCACGGTGTCTTAGAAAAGCACATCATTAGCATAACCAGTGACCTGGAAGAAACACCAGCTGTGATCAGACCATGTGCAGGTTGCCACCCACATGGCCAGAATTATACAGTTTCAAATAGCTTTTTTAGACTAAGAAATGATGGGAGTGATAGTTGAACAAAGATAGTTGATACTGAACAAAGTAAAAACTGAGACTTTTTCATGCAATTTGTAAAAATGTCTCAACTGCTAGTCTAAATTTAAGTATTGGTGGGCCTATAATAATTGTTTTAAATCAATAAACAAACTGACACCCAATTACACCTGGGCGAAGGCATGAAAAAATACAGATATATTGACTTTAGGTCCACTTTCTACAGACTGCACACTGTAAATCACTGCACTGACTTCCTGTCTGTCATTGAATGTAGTCAAGTCAATTTGAATTGACTCTCATGTAAAGGGTCACTGCAGATGGATTGGCTTATATGGCCAATATTCTTTCATATTGTTTCATTACATCTGTTAGTGCTTCCAGGTAATGGAGTGTGAAGGAGAATATAAACTCCAATCTCAGACTGGCAGCCTCATTTCAGTCAGTCTACCTCTGGGCAGCAGCAGACCTGCAATCAAGTGAAAAGCACCCAAGGTAGAAATGTGAATGCTATGAAAACCATTTAATTTTCTTTATTGTGTAATGGTCCACAGGGTGTTAAATATAGTCAAATCCTAATATTTAGCTCATTTCTGAACTCTGCCTCTAGGTACACATACCTCTACTTTAGCGCACTGCAGTAATGAAAAGAAGTGCCTTTGAAGCTCACTAAGGCAAAACGCTGACTGAAAGAAGATAGAGAATCATTTCTGAAGCAACCCTTACCCGTGACATCTAACAACTCATGAGTGTCCTAAGGATCATATATAAAGTCATACCTTAAGCCTTTTATATATATGTATATATATAATGTATGTATAATGTATATAATAATATAACAATGTTAGTTATAGTTGTACTAACAGCAATAATGACAGAATGATGTTAGTGAATTAGAATAATAAAATGTACCTCATCCTGTAAGTTTTACTTTATTCGCCAAGGAACAGATTGTCAGACCGGCAGTTCTTGTTTGACCCTGAGAATGTGACTGAAGTCTGAAGCACTAAAGTCCCTGTATAAAGTGGTAGACTGTGAGTCAGTCTCTTTTGCTGATCCAGACACTTGTTGTTTACTTGTACCACTCTGATACATGACACAGACCTTTGTTGTGATGACGTTCCTCTTAAGTTTGTCTGTGGATGCGCACATATTCAGATCATGCTTTGAACCGCAGTAGAGACCCCATGGACAAGGAACAGTGCCACATCAAAAACTACCCCTGCCCAACTCCCCACAAAGAGTTCTGATATTCTGAGTGTGAAAGGAAACAACAGCGATGCATACTCCTCGTCTTCCTCATTCCTCAGATTTGCTCCTGCCTTGAAAGCAATTGTGTACCATTCACTTTGTATCTGCTTGTGCGATGCCGGGCCAGCCTATGTGAGCGAAACAAGAAAATGGTTACAATTTTACAAGGTCACAAGAAAAGTTGTTCACAATACTTGGCAACAAATGAGATTCTGTGGCCTAGACTGACCTTGCAAAAATAAAATGGGCATTTCTACTTAAAAAACTGTTGTAGTACAAAGGGTTTTAAGGGTTTTCATCATATACAGACAATGTTTTATATTGTCTGTTTGCCCTTTACCACACAAGAGGTGTATGAATACCAAACCATCAATTACTGCATGGTGCTGGTGAGGATTCTGTGTTTAATTTGTAGTTTCACAGTGTAATGGGAGAAATAACACACCATTCGTCCACACTCATTTTACACACTTAAAGGTCCTGTATTACTAAACTAAACTGACTCATGTGATCTTTACTCATTCACACACAAGTAATCTGGTATTATTAATCTGTCTACATCTCAAGAATTAAAAAAAGCTCTGGTCCACCTTGTGATGTCATGAAATTGGCATTTCCAAGGCTGAAATCATCCAAATGATTCTACTATGGGGTTTAAAAACACATTAGAGCACTTTCTGTACTACCACGTGACATTATAAGGTGGAACAGAGTGTTTTCTGTCTGAGAGAAGAACACAGGATACAGGGTTTGTATGTTAAACATGTGTGAATTTAACAAAACACAACTCCGGCTATTGTTTTGACATCAGAAAACATATGAGCAACACTTGTACACTTACAACTTATTACTTTCATTCAATACCATCTGTTGTAACAATGCAGTTGTATCCTCAGCCATATTCCATACATAAATACATACATCCAGGATCTAGAATTTGAATCGTACAGACCTGTCACAGCTGTGGTACTTCATTGTATCACTCTGGGACTTGTTTCATTGACGTCTTGCCTCATCTTAGCCGTAATGGCGGTGTGCTCTCAGCTTGAATGGAGCACTGCTGTCATATCTACAGCCTTATTTTTAGGGTAAATCTGCAGATAAATGTCCCATGTGGAGTGGTTTCCTTTCACCAGAGCCAGTCCATGCTGTCTGTCGCTGCTTGAGGATCATCTATGGAAGAGCACACTGGCACCATCAGGGGTGTGAGCCCAGTGTGGTGATGTCACGCTGCAGTAGCCCGTGGAGCTCACCTCGCCTGGGTTAGCTGCTAGAATGTGCTTTGAATATAGATCAGGGGTGTAACAAAATCAAAATTTCATGGTACAATATGATCGCGATTTGCATCTCTTCACAACACCTGTCATTTTAAAGGTCCTATATTATGTGAAATTAGTGGCGGAGCGTACATTTCACACCTAGGCCTTCAGTACTGCTCCGTCTGAAACAATTCACTCCTCAATAACTATT